CATAATTCAGTTGGATGACTCATATCTGCTACCTTTTTGTGTGCAACTTAATTTGATATCAATAAGACTCAAAACAGGAATCTATTGAAACCTAGAATTGGAAATTTGTACCATGCATTGAGATTAGACTAGTAGCAATATGTGAGCATCATTGAATAATCAAATCACGGCAATACTTAGCTGCATGAAGGCCATGTGTTAAATAACCTACTTAGTATCAATCATGTCACAAATACATTATTGATTTATCATTTTTCACGCAACTGAAAATTTGAAATTGTTTTCATTTTACTCATTCCCCCATTTGCTGTATTGTAGATTTATATCATAATTTAATGCACAGCCTCCTAATGAAGTACTCCACTGGCAATACTTGAGCACATTCAGAAACCATGTCACATCATTTTCCTAGATCATCACACATCATTTTTCTTTGGCACAATGACTAACCACTCATGCAAAAATGGTTTGGCATGAGTTTTGCCACAAGTTTCTTTGCGCATATATTACCCTCCCCTTGTAATTGCTCAATGCAATAATCTAAAATTGTGGTCTGCTCATCAAAGTATACATTATACAAGTATATGTTCATGATGTTATCTTTTACTTTGGGTACATGTCACTAAGCATCTATTCTAAAGGATGGGTTGCATACAGAGGCAGCAGATGGCTGAAAGCAAGGCAATATTGCTCACTTCTAGAACCCGCATTTTTTCCTGATTACTTTATATATATTGTCATATGGTTAAGCTTGGTTGACAAGGTTTTACCTTTTTGTAAGTTAAATGTCTTAAAGGATTTGATAAGCATTGTACTTGTAGACAGCATACCTTTTCCATCAGTTCATCCATGTAGAGCACTGTAGAGTAGCATATTCATGATTTTGACATTGTAGATTGGCCTTTGACCAGGACGAACTATGCTTGTACATATGTTACATGACCTCGGTTATGTGTGTCGAGTGCATGCATGTGTCTAAGCTCTGACTTATCAAATCCTGGATCCCAAGGACGGGGGGACACACAACTAAATATTCATATTTTCAATATTTTTCTGTCAGTTTCTGGGATCAAATGGTATTTTGTGTAACATAAAGCGTTCAACATAGGGACTTTACTCATTAGAAGCAAAAATGCAACAAAGGGATCATATAAATATGGTTGTTTGGTGCATGTCTAACCAAAAGTGCCAAAAGTATGTTGCATTCTCATGTCCAGGTGTCGTACCTGTGATACAGGTACTTCACGCATTTAGTAGAGTCCATTTAAATTGGCTCGTTCACATGGCAGTGCAAATTTTGCCTCTGGTTTTTGGTACTTGCTGTGCCTGTAAACTGTCTTTGAAGCAAAGTTAAGTAGGCATCACTTCCAAATTTAAAATGAGTTGGCAAGAGGAATAGATAGTTGGGTCTTTCAACCTTTTGTTGATGGTATTGCATGATTAACACACAGTTTCAGTTTTTAACCTTTTCCTGTTTATGTTTGGTTCTTAGAGATATTTTGGATGCATGTGTTTCTCCTCTTTTCTTTGATGGCATAGGTCTTAAAGCATAAATCTGTGGTTTGATCTGTATGTATGCGATGTGTAGTGATCAGTTTGAAAAGGTCCGGTTAATTTAGTTTGTTGGACTTCATGAAGAAGAGCGGCATGAAAGGAGTTAACATCAATTTGGGAACTCTTGTACATACATATATACGTGTGTTTGTGTGTGTGTGGGTGTGCTGTGTGTTGCCTTGCAACTAGATAGGAATATAAATAGGCACCTAAGTATTATTTCTGCTGTTATTATGATAATAATCAACAAATTCAGATATTTATTGATCAAGAGATAGTGGTTTGGTAGGGTAGAAATTTGTTCAACTTGTCTGTATGGAAGTTTCCCAATCACTCTCTCACACGTGTATGTGTGTGCGTGTTTATATGGGAAATGATTTGAAACGTGGCTGGTTTCACTTGCCTTCTGCGTTACCTTAATTTCTAAGGGTCAAAATATCCTCTAATCCTTATTTTACTCTGTTTGGTTATGGAAGTTGTTTGTGTCTAACATAAAGACTTCGCATTTCCTAAACTTGGCCTTCCAAATGCTAAATAGACATTGCATGGCTTAGAATGAAGGGTAATAAGCTTGTAAATTCTGGAACCCTCTAGATTGTCGGTCCTTGATTTTCTGACCTACTAGCATATCCATACACACAGATTCATGCCATACATTTTCAGGTTTCGGGTATATTGCTTCTTTGAGAATGCTTTTTGATCTTTTATTTATTTTTCCTGGGATGATCATTAAAAAAATATAGCTGCATGAAAGTTCTAAAGTTGATATTTTAACTACTTTCATGATAGTAAACAAAATTATGTGTGTTTTTAAGTGTCTGGTGGAAGAAATGATTGTATATGTACCCTTCCAACCTACGCTATCATGAATGGAGTGCATTTTGTAATTTGTGTGGATTTGATGGCACTGAAGTCCAAAGAATAGCAGATAGCATATGACTTGGGGACACGGATAGGTCCACTGGGTTTGAGCCTTGTGGCCTAGTGTTAGGTGTTTCCAGTCCCAAGTTGGATCCAGATAAGGAGGATCTTGAGCATATATGGGAGGGTATACAACCTTCCTTAACAGCCCTTGAGCTTTTGTGTTAGAAGGCAAGTCTGTCTCTTTAGTAGTAGTATTAGAGCGAGGTCAATCCTCGACTGGTGGTATAACGCTAAGTGTCCATCCAGGTGGTGTCCGGGTCTAGGTTCGTGTTTTGTTCATCATTGGGTTCTCCCGCCGCGTATGAGTAGGTAGGATGTCCGATTGCAACGAGGGTGTTGCGACGTTGCGAGTTCGGGTAGTGAAGAACATATATTTTTTGTCATTCATTATACCCACACACATGCACACACAGAAACAGGGGAAGAGAGTGCAATTCAGTATTTAACTTGGAATTTACATGGTTAATTGAAGCACAATAGAGTAGCGCTGGTGCTTGTTGCAGTAATAAAAACTTGAGTTGACAAGTTTTGAAGACGTGAATGGTTCTCACCAGTTTGTGTAGTGGGAGTCTCTAATAATAGTAGCTACTTTGTTTACCTAGTTGTTTTGTGAATCTCATTAAGGTATACTTTGTTAGGGTTAAATGTTGAATTTGAACATGCCAGGATTGATAAATTTAGGTAGACCACTGCTATTCAATTCACGTTCTTTTAACTTTAATCATTGAATGCAAATCAGTGATCCTATAGAATCACAATTGATGTCCCTCTGTGATGTGTAGCTGAAATTAAATTCATAAGAATTCTTTGTAAACTTAGTTGGATTGTCTCAATTAGTCAGTTATAAAACAAACTAATCAGTTTTTGGACTTGTGTCGTGGTGTTGGGATTAAGTGCTGTAGTTGTTAGCATGCGCACACGCATGTTGTGAGCTGTTCGATGCATTACAGCACTGTGCAAGGCATTACAGCACACATATATGCATGAGATCACATGTATGCATATTGTGAGCTGTCTGATGTATTATGGGCTCTGTTGCGGATTGAGACTAATACTTCATGATTATTTATTTATTTATTTTGAGAAGGTGTAGTCCATGAAATCTTTTTCCTACACCTCATTATTTTGCTTGCGTTCTATAGAGTACATCACTATGAGTCATTAGTTAGCAAACATAGTGATGTACTCTATAGAACGCAAGCAATAGTTTTTGGTGGTTGCTATGATTATCTCATCCTGTTTGGTGGCTGTTATGATTCTCTTTCTCCTCTCTCTCTCTCTCTCTTTATATATATATATATATATTACTCCGTAATATACTTGTACATATATCTGTGTGTGTACTGTGTTGAGCAATCCTCAAGACCGTTGAATTAAATATATACATTCGGTTCGCGGCAGAGTGAAGGAAAGAAAAAGAAAGGGAAAAGTAAAAGGAAAATGAAAAAAAGGAGGGCAAACTCTACTTATTTGGACAAACCAACAACAGTCACACTAAAACAATGCCACTTTATGCATGTTATCTTTACACACAAAAGATTTTAATTTTATAATATTACCTCAATAAGACATTATTGTCCATGTAACAACTAACTAAATCACAGGATAGTGACTGAAATGAATAACCTAAAATAAATAAATAGTGAAGGATTGAAAATGTATTCAGTCAAGGACTCACTGGTAATTTCATGATCTAGAGTCCCATAGGCATGGCCATATAGTCGCATTCTATAGCGCTCTTCCTATTATTTATATATTAGTGTAGATGAATCAGCTTTACACATACAAACTTGGTCAAAAAGAATTTTTAGCTAGGCTAAGTTGTTGAACAACTTAAAGGATTCGATGATCTAAAAGCAAATTATTTATTCAAAACATTGTAGGAATCTCCAATCCCAGTTCATCATTATGTCTCTTCCCTTTAATTGCGGAGTTAACTGCTCAATCTACATCTCCCTCTCTGTGTCAGAAAAACCTCAGAGTGAACAAACTAAAACACTTTTATTTACCAAGCTAATACAAATAACAAAATAAATGATTGTTTTCTATTTGAGTAAGGATCTTTCTGCTGTACACAACATATATGGCATGCTTTATATGGTGCTGTTAGCGAAAAGAATTGATCAATCTCTGTGCACCTATTTCAACCGAATCTTTCACGCATTTGGTCATATGTGTCATTCCTCGTAAACACTTCCAAGAAAGAATTAACAAATTAGACACTTGTTCTTACCCAAGACATGAGGTTTTCATGGTCCAATTTGGAATATTTTTTGGTCACATGTTTTTATCTCGTAATACTCGAAGCATAACAGGATCAAACAAAACACAACACAACAAAAATTGCAAAATAAGACTAAAAAACATATAGGGGACATACTGCTCATTGTCCCTTCTCCTTCATTCTCACACACACAGACACACACTTTTATTCCTCAAACACCTCAAAGAAAAATAAATAAATATATAAAATAGACAAGGTTTTTTTTTTTTTTTTTTTCCCAAAAAAAGACAATCAAATATACAAATAAATGGGAGCCGAGTGTTGTTATACAGATTATTGTTATTATCTAACAGAGCCACTCGTCAAAATAGAAAGATACAAATTAAGAAGCATGTGATCACATGTTACCATCTCTCAACCCTCAAAACATAACAAAGGACAAATTAAACAGAAACACCCATCCCCTTAACATAAATAAATAAAAATTCAAATACTCAGAAACGTACATATTACGAGTATAATATTATAGTTATGCTATGCGACAATCACTCACTAGTCTCTATGATCCACAACGTCTACCGTGGCGGTGCAAGATAGCATCCTCCGGAAAATCACACACAGGGCGGCGCACGATAGCTCCCTCACCCTCCTCACCACCACGCACCTCCTACTCCCACGTGCTCCATTTCCCTTCCTCCTCCTCTCACGTGACACCCTCTCTTTGACCCGACCCAGGCACTTCTTGGTCCGCTCCGGCACCGTCTCTTTCCTCGAAAAGGTGTAGCTCCTAAGGTACACCTGCCTGCAGGAGATACTGTCCACCACCCTCGGGTGCTGGTGCTGGTGCTGCCCTCCATGGCCACCCCCGCGCACATTAGCAGCCGCCACCGTCTTGACGAACTCGGCGTCAGATTCCGGCCACTTGTAGAGGTTGACGTAGGTGGCTCTGACTGGGACTCGGGCGTCATCCACACACTTTGATATGCAGAGTGAGGTCATTCTTCTGGTGGTGCTTTCCGCCTTTCCGGCGTGTGTGTCAGATTTTAGAGAGAGAGAGAGGGGGAGAAAAGATAGTCTTCAGGGAGAATTTATGATGGGTTTTGTGGGATGTGTGGAATGATGGTTTAGCATCATGAGCAATCACTCTGTTTTTACACTTGTTTGTGCTTTTGTTAGGCAAGAATTTAGATAAGCTAACTTATTAATTAATTAATTCACCCAATTAACCTTTTGTATTATATTCTTTTAAATTAGGTCTATCTGTCAACTAAATGAAATTCTTAATTATTGTTGCTTTTTCAATTTTATGAGAAAAATAATTTTATAAAGATTTTTAATAATAAAAGGATAATATTTCACATGTCGACTAGACAGTAAAAAAACAAAATAATTAATAAACATATTTACCTGAATTTCAAAGATATGATCTTATCATCATCTATATGAGTGTTTCACTTTTAAAAAAAGTTATTTCTACTAAAATATTTAATAATTATGACGTGGCACTAAAATATTACACATGCCGTCTAAACACTGAAGAAAAAAAACTAATCAATAAATATATTTACATAAATTTTAGTAATTTTGTCACTTGGAAAAACATTACGCTATAAAAGTTTGCATTTAGAAAGTTTGTACAAGATTTGAGAACCTGTTTTTTTCACAAAATTTTAGGAAGGGCCAAGTCAAATAATATTTAATGGCCAACCATCAATTGGCGCATTTAATTTTTACTTCTCAAATGATGATTAAGAAATTGAATCTTTCTTGAAACATTACACGTGAGTGAATTATTTTAACTTTTAATAAATAAAAAAATATCACAGCTTGGGATTGATTCAAAAATTTTATGTTTATATTGCTTTTAGAAATAATTTTTTTTCCCCTTAGGAGACACAACATATATATATTTTTTTGTTTAGGTTTTTAAATTTAAAAAATTCCTCTGTATTTTTTTCCCCTCATTTAATAAATTTAGGTTTAAGAATTTTAGATTTTAAGTTTAAATTTAAGTGAAAAAGGTTCAATACCTATTCGGTCGTGCTTGTTTGCTCCCTAATTTTTCATGTTTGTACCAAGCCGTGCATCATTAATGCTTTGTCGCATCATGTTGATACATACCTACTTTTATAGTTGATCCTCTTAATAACTGATTTTGATAGCATAACTAAAAAGACTCTAATGTCCTCGTAGTCCATCTTATGTAGCCGCAAATAGAAAAGGTTATTTGGATATTTCACAACCAGTTCCGTGAGCCGCCTTTCCTTTTCACCTGGAATCCCACGTGGAATCCATGGGCCTGGACAACGCCCCAGCCTGAACTTTTTGGCCCAATAATGAACAGCCCACTAGCTATTCAAATGGTTAAAAAAAAGAGAAGATTTTGTTCAAATTACAAACCAAAAATGGTCACAGTCACAAACCTTGCTTTTATGGGGCTGAACAGCCACCCAGTCTGATCATTTCGGCCCAACAGTATTCAACTCCCTTAATTCCCCTAGAAAGGAATTAAGGCCTTATTTGTTTAGGTAATAGACTTTTCTAAATCTTGCGGGTGATGAATAAAACAATCTTTTTTCATCAGGACCCTTTATCTAAGGCCTTATTTGTTTAGGTAATAGACTTTTTCTCTTACCCTTTTAAAAGGCGATACTCTATACTATTATGGTTAGAGTATCTCCAACTGTTGTGTATATTTTTTTTTGTATAAATTTGATGTGTCATGATAAATTTACACAAAAATTTTAAATTATTTAATTTTAACTCTAACTGTTGTTTTATACCTTTTGTGTAAAAATATATCTCCCAATAACAACCAACCTTGTGTCATGCGAGGACCCCACATAACTTTTATAAACCTACTTAATATATGGTTAATTCTTTAATGAAATGAGAAAGAGGGATTAGAAAGGAAATATGTTGATTTGGCAGTGTAAAAAGGTATATTTTACACAATCTTTTTACAGGTGATGTGGCAATGTATACTAACATATTGCTAAAAATGGAAAAAATTCACACATCATAGGTGACAGTATATGTATATTTTACATAAAAAGGTATTTTAGCATACCGCTAGATGCTCTAAGGTGATAAAAAGAGAGTTTGGAGAAATGACAAAATGACAGCTCTAAAATAGAATTGAAAGCATCAATTGTAATGGGATGGGATTTATTGAGTAGTATTAATTTGCAATTGATTAGTGTCTGATTTGAATAAAAATGGCTATTTATACAGCTAATATTACATAATCAATGGAGTTCATAGGCAATAATTATTTGGTATCTAAAAATTAATCCTAAAATAAACAAAAGAATAAAATCAATGGAATACACAAGAAATCTTGAAGTTATTCCTTCCGTTCACTCTTTTTCAGTGGCCCATGTTGAATCTATTTTTTTGTCACTTTACAAGCTGTTTTCATTCTACTAAGCTCATTTTACCTTAAGAAAAATTTTAAATGAAAAAGGGAGAAATAATGGATGGATGAAAGAGAATTGTTCCTTCCTTAATGTTGAAGAGAATAGTGAATAAGTCATAAATAAATCCATTTAATTAATATGCATGGAATTTCCAGACTCCAAACAGACATTTAGTTAAGTACGGGAAGTCAACCGACATTAGTGAACCATCGTTGATGGATCGGACGTTGTACATTTGACCCCGTCAATTCATTTTTTTTTTCTTTTTTCTTTTTTTGGCACAAACTTTAAGGTTTCAAACACTCCAATTTTGACAAATCATATGATCTCTGATAATCTAGTTCACTGTCCACATGCACAAGGAAACTTGTCTAACTTAATTACCAAAATTATATTTAGTGTTTAATTAATGTTGATGCTTTTGACAATCTAATCTTATATGAATTTAAATAATTAATTCATTGGACGTGTATAGCAATGCGTGTAATATCATAAAATAGTTGTTAAAAACATAACCCACTAACTTACCTTTTACCTAAAAAAAACATAACCCGTTTTCACTTAAAATGTGTGTATTGTTAACTAAATGCATACACAACACACATTACTAGTTCATTTTTTCTTAAGATTCACATATATTGCCAATTTCTAGAGCTGCGACAAACACAAAACCAAAATTAGTGAAACCTTAAAAGTCATACCACACAAGTGAGGCTTTGCTTATTCAATGGTAAGTCACCTTTTTTTCCATTTTTTTTCCTCCCCATGGCAAGTCAAACAAAAACACACACATATTCACAAAACACACACAAACCCAGTGCTGTCGGGTTTTGTGTTGCATCGGCTCACAACGCAAACCGTCCGATTCAGGGTCTATACTAAAAATAATCCTGACTCATTATTCTATATCTTTAGTAATTGATGGAGAGATTTGGCCATGCCATATGTGTTTTTTTTTTTCGAAAGATGCCATGCCATATGTGTTGTGTGTGTGTATATATATATATATATGTATATATCCTATATTTTCCTCTATCATAACTAAAAAGTGGCATTACCACTCAGTTCCTTTGGAGAGTAGGTGAAAATCACATGAAAGAAAAAAATTAATTTGTGCGATAAAGTATGCATGTGTGTGTGTGTGTATATCACATAATAGATTTTTAGTCCATATTAGATGAACACCCATACCTACTGTGAGACTAGATCATGAACAAAGATATTTAAGTACAAAAAACAAACAATTGGACATAAATGTTCCATCAATAGAACATGCGGCCTCTTAAAATATATTTCGTGAAGTAATGAATTCGTGTGGAAAAGAGATTAGGAAGGCGTTGGTCACCACTCGGCTACCAGCATATATATATATATATATATAAAAGTATTAATTAATTTATATACAACTCAGTAAATTCACAATACACGACACGCATGTCTTTTTTATATATATTAAAGCAAGCTATAACCAACATGGAATGTACATACATATGTGCATATATTGCGAGAAATTGAAATGTGAATATCTTGTTTTATCAATCCCAATTGAGTGAGAATGACTATGTATTGACCTAGTTTAAGTGTACAAACACAAATATTTGATATTGACTTCATGCCAACCTCATCTTGACTATTGGAAATCTTGTGATCGTAAAACAAACGGAATGATATATTCTAACATATTTGACGTACTTCCCTAATTAATACTCTATCGTATTATAATACTTGTAAACGGAATGATATATTTTCAAATATTTGATGTACTTCCCTAATTAATACTCTATCGTATTATAATACTTGTTCAATTTATGTCCGTCACAGTTTTTAAAGTGGATAAGTATTATTATGTGACGGAAGTAATACTAAAAAAGCTATTAAGATACATTTTTCTTCTATTCCGTAAATTATATATTTATGAATTAAGATACACAACATGACAGTATTTCATGACTTGAATCTTGAATTATACTCCTAGCAATAGACCGACGCAAATATTTGTGTGTGTGTGTATATATATATATATTAGCCTTCTAGATATACTATGCATACACACAAGGGTAAAGAGAAGGATGGACAATGATATTCATGGAAACTATTTGACATGCAAGTTAAAAAAAATAAAAATAAAAACATTTCTAATACATTTGTTTGTGTGCCAGGTTATTGGGCAGACCTTGGAATCATATAATAATTTAGACAATGCTTAGCAACTCACGATGAGTAGGGTGAAGCTACTCACTCCTATGTGATTCAATAACAAAACAACACATCATTTTAAAAAATAAAATAATCCATACTTTTTCTTACTTTTCCGGACTAACTATTGAATAAACGTATATAGTGTTTTTAGGTGTGAATTATTTTATTATTAAATGTGGTATGTTATTGTATTATTGAATCACATAAAAATGAGTAACTAAGCATTATCCAATTAATTTCTCCCTATTAAGACCTAATTCTAGGGGAGATATTTGTAAGGTCAATAGTGGTGAATCCCTTTCATTTTATTTCTTAGAGGGCATAATTTTATGGTAACTGGCTGAAACTGAAACATGTTGTCCACAAGAAACCTCATGTTGGTAGATTTGGTCGTAGAGCTGTATAACCCATTATGTAGAAACACTAGGACTTGGTACGTAGTTTTTCTTGGAACCTAGTCGAACTAGTAGAAAGCAGTACAACTTCTCACCAACTCATCATACTAATAACAGTCAAACCTCATCATCACCACACGAAACAACTCACCAAATATACAAGTATATCGTACACATGCATGCACTACATAGTGTGCGTGACAAAATCCCACTTAATTTGTCTTTTGTTTTTTTAACCAAATGTAACAACACCACCCTTCGCTACTTATATAGCAAGAGCTTCATAGCTAGTAAAAAGGCACTAACAATACCCCACCCCCACACACACGCACCCCACCGTCTCTTCTAGGAGGAGATAACATGTCTTCCTCTAGTGACCTCCCATTTTTGGGCCCAAGAGAAGCCATGGAGCTGCAACAACTCAGCCGGAAACCCAAACGCAACGCGTCCCTGACCCTCGGCGAGCTCTTGCAGCGAGTAAGCAACTCCGGTGACGATGACAACATGCCGTCACACCGAGTTCTCGAGCTCTCCCAACCCACTTCATTCCCTTTTGTTCTCTCCTTCAACCACCTCACTTATAGCGTTAAAGTTTCTCCCAAAATGACACTTCCAACGTGTTTTGGACGTAAAACAACTCATGAGTTACAGAATAAGGCTGGTAACATGAAGGTGTTATTGAATGACATTTCCGGCGAGGCGAGAGAAGGCGAGATCATGGCCGTCCTCGGGGCGAGTGGGTCCGGCAAATCAACTCTGATTGATGCAATAGCCAACCGGATCTCTAAAGAAAGCATGAAGGGTAGTGTCACTCTGAATGGTGAAGTTTTGGAGTCCAAGCTTGCCAAAGTAATATCAGCTTATGTGATGCAAGATGACCTATTATTTCCGATGTTAACCGTGGAAGAAACCCTCACTTTCTCGGCCGAATTCCGGCTACCCCAGACTCTCTCCAAGTCCAAGAAGAAGGCCAGAGTCCAAGCATTGATAGACCAATTAGGCCTTCGAAACGCGGCGCAGACGGTGATCGGTGATGAAGGCCATAGAGGTGTTTCGGGTGGCGAACGTCGGCGAGTTTCAATTGGAATCGACATAATTCACGACCCCATCGTCCTCTTCCTCGACGAACCCACCTCGGGGCTCGACTCCACGAGCGCTTTCATGGTGGTGAAGGTCTTGCAGAGAATTGCTCAGAGTGGAAGCATAGTGATCATGTCCATTCATCAGCCAAGTTACAGAATTCTCAACCTCGTCGACCGTATGATCTTCCTTTCACGTGGTCAGACCGTCTACAGCGGCTCACCGGCTGGTCTTCCCCAGTTCTTCGCTGAATTCGGACACCCAATACTGGGAAATGAAGATCGGGCTGAATTTGCTCTCGATCTGATTCGCGAGCTGGAAGGATCAACAGGTGGGACCAAAAGTATAGTTGAGTTCAACAAGTCACGGCAAATTAACAAACATGTCCACAATCAATCCAATGGTGGAATGAAAATTTCTCTTAAAGATGCAATAAGTGCAAGTATTTCTAGAGGAAAACTAATGTCTGGAACCACAAATGTGAGCTCAAATTTTCCAACATTTGCCAATCCGTTTTGGATCGAAGTCATTGTCATAGCAAAACGGTCACTAACCAACTCATGGCGATCGCCGGAGCTATTTGGGATTCGATTAGGGGCTGTTCTTGTCACCGGAATCATGCTTGCTACAATTTTCTGGCGACTGGACAATTCCCCAAAAGGGGTTCAAGAAAGGGTTGGGTTTTTCGCATTTGCCATGTCCACAATCTTCTACACATGTGCAGAAGCCATACCAGTCTTTCTTCAAGAAAGATACATCTTCATGAGAGAGACAGCTTACAATGCTTATCGTAGGTCGTCTTATGTCCTGTCTCACTCTGTCATCTCCATTCCTTCGCTCATCTTCCTCTCGTTCACTTTCGCTGCAACCACTTTCTGGGCGGTGGGTCTGGCCGGAGGCCTTTCCGGGTTCCTCTTCTTTTTCTTCTCCATCTTGGCCGCGTTCTGGGCCGGGAGCTCCTTTGTTACCTTCCTCTCCGGCGTTGTTTCTCATGTGATGTTGGGTTACACAGTTGTTGTGGCCATTTTAGCTTACTTTCTGCTCTTCAGTGGGTTCTTTATAACCCGAGATCGAATTCCTTCGTATTGGATATGGTTTCATTATATGTCTCTGGTGAAGTATCCATATGAAGGTGTGTTGCGCAACGAGTTCGATGACCCGAGTAAGTGTTTTGTGAGAGGGATTCAGGTATTCGATAACTCGCCATTGGGGGCAGCTTCGACGGCCTTGAAGCTGAAGATGTTGAAGAGTATGAGCAGTGCTATGGGGGTGAACATTACCAGCTCAACTTGCTTGACCACAGGGGTAGACATATTGAAGCAACAAGGGGTCACTGATCTAAGCAAGTGGGGTTGCTTGTGGATCACTACAGCTCTTGGGTTTTTCTTCCGGATCCTGTTTTACTTTACTCTCTTGCTTGGGAGCAAGAACAAGAGGAGGTGATCGGGGAGGATTGGATTAATATTTGTGGATTTTGGAGCCAGCATCTTGGGGATCAGCAGCAGAAACAAAAATTTGGCGGGAATGACTTGTTTTGGTTTTTAGTTTATTTTAAAATGTTTGATTTGATTTTATTTAAATTTCGTTTTGGTGATTGGTAGTTGGGGATTTTGGTGTTGCTTGAATCTGTTACATGTAACGCAAGTCTATCGAAACCTTAGCTAATATGGGGGTGACTTAGTTTAAGTTTTGAATGTAGCATCGGAGTAGAAGAATCAAAATATATAAAGCCTAGGGCAAGAGAGAGTATGTTAATTTTTATTATTTCTGTCTCATGTTAGTAGTTCACTTTCTCATTTTTAGATGTCTCAAATTAATTGTCCATGTAACGACCCTAGCTGATGCCAAGAATTTTACAAAAAATTCGGCATAACCTCCCTTAAAAATAGGCCTACCATACCCTGTTTAAATTCATTTTTTACCTATCATGGCTCAAATTCCGAATTCACGGTAACAGTATATGATCATACACAATCAAATAACACCGATAATTACTTTAACTAAAATTATCCTTCCCATTCATCAACAAGATTACATGACAAAGTTTTGCAAAATATACATGTACACCTTTATACTTTTAGTGCTTTGCAAAAATAATGGGAAATATACAAAAGACACAAAAGTGAGCTTCTAGTATCGCTCAAGCTTGAGGTGGGTTGTCGTCCACCGATTCTTTTCCAAGACCTGAAAAAAAATGTATAAATAATAGGGTGAGCTATATGCTCAGTAGGTGACACTTAAGATACAAATCTCGTGTCCTTGTGAATTCAAGCAAAGCATAGGCCAATGGGAGATAGGGATCATACAACATAGGGGATCAAATACAACATACAAGTCAATTCTAAGTATAAACAATGCAATGCAATGAAATGACATGCAATGCATGTCAATGACACTCCCCATTTTCATTCTCAAAATCATCACTTTCAAATGTTAATACAGCCCGCCCTTTGGTAACCCCGCCGCGACACGAAAGGAGGATTGGCTAGTGTCCCTGACCCTTGGTAACCCCGCGGCGTCATTATGGGGCCCAGCTAGCTCAACCACGCTAGGGTGACTCCCTAGTCCCCTCTAGGCTATATTAACCTCCGGCCCGTTGGTAACCCCGCAACGACCGGGTTTTGCATAAAACCATTTTATCAAAAACACTTCCCTGAAATTCCCCATATTTATTTCAAGAACAATTTCTCCCATTTCATGCAAACCCAATGGTATGTGCATGTATATATATTTCATACATTCAATGTCATGGCATTTAAAATTTTCCATCATAAAATTAAACATTCAACATGTTCAATATCTCCCAAGTAATTATTAACACATTAAGATACAACAAAATACATTTAAGCATTTGCATGTATATATATATATGAGCTCAACATCATGAATTGGGAAATTTGGCGCAATTTAAATAAGCATACTCTCATACATTAATTTCAGCATGCTAGCACATAGTAAACATAGGAAATCAACAACTAAATATAATTTGCACATGAACCAACCATATTCAAGATCGTGAAAACCCTCTAGACATCATTAATACCATCATAGATATAATTAACTCTAAATTAAGCATATTTAATACAACATGGAGGTAAAATTCACAGTAGAACAAGACTAGAGTGGATTAAGATGCCCCTACCTTAAAATAGGCAAAACCCTAGAAATGAGTTTAAATTTTCGAGTTTCAAAGAAGGCTCAAAACTGGAAATTGCTTGCATCAACGCGTAGAGCTCGTCACACTCGTCGTTTTGTCTCAAACGGCACCTAAATCCGGTAAGTAATGAAGATGGAATCAAGGATTGAAGTTGAAAAAGAAAAAAGAAAAGAAAAAAAGCAGAAGCAGCGAGAGAGAGAGATATGAGCTGCCGAGACAGAAAACAATTTGGAATTAAATGGCTCTGCAATGACCCTTATAACTCAAGTGGGCCCCACAGTTGAAAAGTCAAAAACTTTACAGTCCACTCTAAAAAGTCAAAGCAAATAAATCTTATTTTTTCATCATTATTCTTTATATTTTCAAAAAATTTCAAACTTTGATAAGTATATTTATCTAAACTAAAAAAAGGATAAGTTGATAATTTTAAAAAGGGACAATGTATTAATGGGATGTCTCCTTGAAACTCTCATTTCTAAAACATGAACATCTAATATGGTACAGAGTATTGTTTAGTAGGTAGAGAAGGGAATGAAAAGAGGATGAGAGAGCCAAATTTCAACCCCTTGTCCAAAAATTGAACTGTTTTCATAGAAAAAAAGGAATATTTTCAATTAGATTTGTCTTACATTTGTAATATTATTTTTCTCTGGAAGAAAATTTAGTTAAAAATATATAGAGATTCAAACTGGGATAGAAAATGCAATTTCTTCATCTTCACATCTTTGCAGTAAAAATATGTTATATCCTTATCAACTTCACCATTGTAATACTGTTTTCTTTTATTCATATGTTTGCAGTAAAAATATATTCTATCCTTATCAACTTCACCATTGTAATACTGTTTTCTTTTAATCATATGTTGGCGGGAGGTTGGGTAAATGAATGACTTCTCATGAGAGTATTGTTCACAGTATTATTTTCTAAACAAGTAATTTCTACTTTGTCAAAATGTACATCTCTATCTCACTTGTTCGGTCTAAGTAGGTAGTTTCAGCTCTTTATAGACATCTTTCTCGCAAATGAACAGCTCATAAAGTTTACTTTATAATGAATGATTAAAATCTAATCTCTACAACTACAATCTAAAATTTTACAAAACTCTTTACTTTTTTAGAATATTCTCTAATACACAAATTGTTACAAACACTCTAATGTTATAGAATTCTTTACTTCTCTCCCACACTTCACAATTCTTTGTATTGAGAAGTTTAGAGTCCAAAACATTCTCTCTCTCTCTCTAAAAATAAAATATAAAAAAAAAACACGTAGAAGAAGAAGAAGAAAGAGGAAGGTTTAGAATCCAACTCTCTTCCTGTCATGTAGAGTCCTCCTCAACAGGGACGGACCTATTACCAAGTGAGTGGGGGCAATTGCCCTCCCTAAATTTTTAATTTTTTACTAATATACTACGTTGTTATTATTTTTCAATATGTACCCTTAAAATATTGCTAATGCCCCCCTAAAATTATTATAAAATTTCAGTCTTGCCCCCTTTACCTAAAGTTCTAGGTCCGCCCCTGCTCCTCAACACTCACGTAGTGCAGTCTCTTTGCAAATAGGCGGAACATGACCCTAATTGTGCATGACTCAAACCCGTAGCTCAAGCAACATGGATATCTAGTGAATTATCCATATAAAGGTGTGTTGCAGAACAAATTTGATGACCCGGGCAAGTGTTTCTTTAGGAGGATTCAGATATTTCATAACCCGCCGTTGGGGTGGCTTCGGCGGTCAAGCTGAAGATGTTGATGAGTATGAACAGTAGTTTGTGGGCGAACATTACCAACTCAATTGGGGACAAAGCCAAAAATTTGAGATAGGGATATTTTATAATTTCAAATAATTATACATATAAATATGAAAATTTTTAAAAATTGATGGAGATAGAATGCAATAAAAAAATTTTGAAACTCGAAATTTTAAAATTTTAAAGAATTATACATACAAAAATGTATAATTCTTTAAAATTAAGAACAAGAGCAGATGATCGAGGAACAATTAGACTGACTTCGGATTTGGGAGCAATGGAGAACGATTTATTATTATTATTATTTTTTAAAATGTTGGATTTTATTTTATTTAAATTTCGTTTTGGTGTTTTGTAGTTGGGGATTTTGGTGTTGCTTGAATCTGTTACATGTAATGCAAGTCTACCTACCCTAGCTAATGCGTGACTTGAGTTTAAGATCTGAATATATAGTTGGGGTTGGGTAGTAGAAGAATGCTAATCCTGATAAAGCATAACACTATAACCATCCAAAACAATAAATAAAGCATAACACTATAACCATCCAAAACAATAAATAAAGCATAACACTATATATGTTTGGTAGGAGAGAAGAAAGGGCTTGGGATCAAGACGGGCAAAAAGGAAAACTTAGAATATGTTTTCCTTGTTTGGTACCTAGAGAAGTAGTGAAAAGGGAAATGATAGAAGGATGGACGAATTTTTTTTTTTTCCCGAACTATCAATCTCTTTCTCCAAAATTGAATTCATGTTCAAAAGAGAGAGAAAGTGACATTATTAACTATACTTTATTTTTATTTTGTTTGTATTAATTGTTTGTGTAGTGTAGGGTTATAAGAACACCTTCTCTTCCCTATCCATATTCTTCAAGTTTTCATTTGTCCTTTGGCAAAAAGTAAGTAATGCAGAGACACAGGTCTCAAGCAACATGGACAAGCTTCTTACCAACCTAGTGGCAAAAATTTGATGAACAATATTATATGATTTTCTTATTCTTCATTGTTACTCAAGATTAAAAACTCACTTATAATGGCCTATGAGGTACTTAAAAGCACCAGTTTGAAGTGTCATGTTATGCGTAAATTACTTAAACAATTAAAAAAAAAAATCAAAATATATTTAGAATAAATTTATACACCCTTCGTCCTAAAAAAAAAATTCTTTTTTGAAAAATTTAAATTTTTAAAAGGACGAGTTTTAGTATGTTTTTATATTCATAGTGAATTCTGGTGATTTACTTTTTATAAATTTACTGAAAGAAGGTTAAATTGGTAATGATATAAAAAAAGTAAATAAATGGTATTTTAACTTTCAATTGAGACGTTTATTTTGCAACATCCATGTGGACTATTTCTTTTTTAAAAGAAAGAGTATAATAAAATGTTTCTAAAATATCACGAAAACTAATATAAAGAATAAAAAATAAATAATAAGACATCGATTAATATATTTTTTAAAAAAGAAAAAGTAGGACTCACAATTCTCAAGTATCCCCTAATCGGATCAGAAGAGAGATCATTTTGATAAAATCACTAGTAAATTTTATTTTTTATTTTTTTTTATTTTTCTAACAAATAAATGTAAATTTCTATTTTTTTTTTAAAAAAAAAAAAAAAATTCTTTCATCTGCTTATCTAAAAGAATGTAAAATTGTATGAAGTGGTCCGCTTAAAACCGTTGGAACCTTATCGAATTTACACCCAAAATAGAAAAATAAAAATGTCTCACGTCATGGTGGTTCTGCCCTGTTTCGCCACCGTCCGGTCGGCGGCGAACCGGCCACGACAGAACGGAAACTCAAAGACCAAGAAAATGCAAAGCCGGAGCAGTGGGGGCGCATCACTCGGTTTCGGCGGTGAGAGAAAGGATCCTCCGTGGCAGTGCGTACAGGGCTGCGGTGCGTGCTGCAAGCTCGACAAGGGTCCCTCCTTCGCCACCCCTGAAGAGATCTTCGATGACCCTTTAGATGTTCGAGTATGTATCCATACTCAAAAATATTCCATGCACACAATGTGTTTGATATTTGGTCGCTCAATTTTGTATCTATCATGTACACATATACGTTTATGTATAGATAGATTGTATGTTGATTTTATGAATTTCAGCTGTATAGAAGCTTAATAGGTCCAGATGGATGGTGTATACACTACAAAAAGAGCACAAGAACATGCTCCATTTACTCTGGTGAGTTAAAAGTTCTGAATGTCTTTCTATATATATACGCATATGTACTTCATAAACACACTAACACCTCTCTCTCTATATATATGTGTATGTATACAAATATTAGATCGTCCATATTTTTGTCGCGTGGAGCCGGATATTTTCCAAGAATTGTATGGAATTGATAAGAAGAGATTCAACAAGGAGGCTTGCAGGTCATACCTTATGTTTTTCTCGTCTATTTGGCATTGTGAAATTCAAGTCTAATTGGATTACAATTTCTACGAATTCTATGCTTTTTGTGTCTCGCTTGCAGTTGCTGTAGGGATACAATTAAAGAAGTATACGGTTCCAAATCGAAGGAGTTGGATAATTTTAATCATACGATAAGGAGCTCGAGTTCTAATTAGCTGTTTTTCTTTGATCTGCTGATCTTAATGCCAAAGGTCATTCCTTTTTCTCTATAGTGATATGTGTCAATTAGTACTGAGTGCAAGGATTTTTTAATTTTAATTTTTTTTTTTATTATTATTGTGTAATCTAATGGAATTAATGTATGGTTTCTAACAGGATTTTGAACAGATTGTACTCAAGTGATATCTGAAATAAATCATTGTTTTGTAAATTTGGTTGCAAATATAGTGTCGTGAGGTAAATCCATCATCTCTGAAATTGTTCCACATTTATAAGGATTTGTTTCTAGAAATTTTTCTGTGATCTTTTCAAGTTTTTTTTTTTTTTTTTTTTTCGTAACTGTTTCTCTGTGTTTCTATGTAGGCATTATATATTCAATTGTTAATCGAAGGTTGCTAAACCATTGTTCTTGCATTTCTGTTAAATAAATGATAAGGCTTCATGTAATATAATGTCTTATTTTAGTGTGGAGGATCATGCCTTTTTCTTATGCATATCTAAGACAAATATTGGTATTTTCAATCAAAAACTGTCAGAAAAGAGAGAGTATATGCTGATAATCAAAATGGTAAGCAGATAGTCTCTATTCTTATCCAGGAGTATGCTGCCCCAATTTATATTGTCTCTAACCACCATATTAAGACCGGGACAAAAGAATTTTTTACTTCATAAACTGTCAACTAGAAATTTGTTCAGCTATTAGGAGTCTTTTAAGCAGAGTTGGAGGAGATACAGAAAAAAGAAATTTGAAAGACTTCTTCTTGTGTGTGTGTCGGCGTGCGTGTACTGGACAATAAGGAAAATGAGCTGATATTGAGGTTGAGAAGCCACCCAGAATACCACCTGACCTAATTAATATGCATTGGTATTACTGCTGCCTTATTGGTTTTCATACTTTTACAGAGAATTCAAGACCAATGTATATGAGTGTATAGAATAAAGATACTGAAGGGGCATGAGATGCTCTATCAACCAATTCACCCACTCTCTCTAACCCAAGATGCCCATTCCTACTTTTTTCATCCTAAAAGAGACTACTTTCCGTCCTAAAAGATATTCTACTTTCTCATCCTAAAAGATATTCTGTTCGAGAAGGATCGTTGGGTGGTTCTAAATTCAAGTCCTTTCTGTTTGATGGAGATTTCATAATATACGATGATCTCAGTCCTCAAATTATTAGGTAGGTAATGATACATAGGACCAACCCCATTATGCTAGTCCAAAGCAGCCATTCCTTTACCCTCTTTTTAACTGAATATAAATGTGTAGAAGAGATATTCTCACAACAGAAGCCACAACTTTTACAGAAGATGTATTTTAAGTAGCCAGGAGGGATCTATAAGACAGCCTAGCTAGAGCGTTGGATCTTTACTCTCAATCTGCAGTGCCTTCCAATAGTGCTGAATTTAACAAGCCAGAATTCATGGACCATTATCCCATTTCGTATGATGGTACATATGACAATGTTGGCTATGGTGAACCCCTTCAATCTCAAGAAGATAAGTCCTCTCATGATTATTCCAATTCTTCGTCTGACAGGGAAGAAGAGTCTGGTTTAACAAGCAGACCCTGGAATAATAAGAATGAACTGACTAAGCAGGCTTACGAGTATGATGGCAGCGGCAATTTGCTGGGCATATTGCAGTCATACTTCGGTGGCTCTTGGGGAGAGGATCTACTGTCCCATGGCTATGGCAACAATGGGTATGACACTGAATTAGAGAAGGCAGAGGACCCTCAGCAAGGTGAAGTACAGCATGGTAGTTATTACATTCATGACAGCGACATGGAAATGCAGCCGGCATATGATTATAATTCTTCGTCCTGCTATGGGTCTGGTTTTGAATATGGAGGTGAAGAAGACTATCATGGTTATGGTATGAAAGAGCCCGTGCCTGCATATAGCTACCCCTCCAACGAGATGGGACATTGTGAAAGTCTCTTTGGTCACTGGCCTTTTTCGTCAAGGCAAGACCAGGAAAGTTATGTTGAGCAAGGACTTGCTTGAGTGTTTCGCCTCGCCATTTAGTATTGTTTCCTATTCAGATTTTGTTTCTGAGAAGCGCTTATTTGTGTTGTTTTAGATCTCACAATCTGTTCTTCCTATGTAGTAATTTGGGGCAATTGCTTGGTGAAATGTGCTTAGGTTATATTTCAATGAAATCTTGCAATCAGAATTCCTGAATTATCTAAAATTAACTTGTGCTCAAATACTTATATCACAATTGCTTGTGCAGTTCCAATGGCTGTGGTTGGATTTTACTACTTCTCTGCTATATTATCACATATGTTGTTATTGATTCAGTCCACGATGGGTTAAAGCCTCAGTATCAAACTCAATCCCACCAACACTTGGACACTATTTATGTCACACACTCATTTGCGCATTAAAAATAATTGCACAAAGAACTATAGGAACTATACAATCCAAGGTACTATACATATACATATGATATGGGGTTTTGATGCAACAAAAGATGTTAATTTTAAAGTACACTGCCAATGGGGCCAATACCTAATTCATCCTCAATGTCATCGTCATCTTCGAACAGTTTCAGGAACCGGGCTTGATCTTGCTCTCTCTTTCTCTTCTGCCAATACTTGTATCCCGCCACCAGTCCAAGAATGAAGACAGCTGAAACTGCAATGCTGATCACTATCACTAGAGCCCAATGCATTCCCTTCCCTCCCGCGGAAGAGGAATGATCAGAATCTACAAACACATGGTGAACACAATGACAATGAAATTAATTAAAGAAACAAGTGTTTGTATTCACGAAGAAGTGCACGTATTCGAGCACGCACACACATCTATGATCTATGCATATGACAGGTTCAAGGAATTGTTATGCAAAAATGAATTTCATGGCCTAAGAACACAAACGTGAGAATGATCTAGGTAGTTTGTGTGCGCTTTCATTTCTCAAGGGAAATTGAATGGTTTTAACTTTTAATGTGTATTAATACATACAGAACATTCTGCATTAGAAATCTGTTATCTTGAAGACAGTTTGCCTAAAAATGATAGTATAAACTTCGAATATTGTCATTTAAAGGGAACCAAAAAATGATCATATAAGATTGACGCACAAAGGAATTACATTTTTGTTAACAACATTGACGTACGATTTTTCTAAAACAAAATAGAAAAAATAGTTAAAAAGAAGATATAAAAAATGGAGCAAGTGGTTTTGATTAAACTGTCTAATTGCACATGCATTGATTTGTTCCTGCAGCTACAGAATGTACTCGGTCTAGACGAATACAAGAACTGTGATAAGATGAACTATGGTCCATTCCATTAACGAAACAACACTCACCACTTCCAAGAGATTCGCAGTTTGGACACGAAAATGTAGCATTGAATTCCTTGTCTTTGAAATGGTTGTATTTTCCATCACTGTCAGTAAAATAAGAAGGGCAAAACTCCCATTCATCTAATATATCATCTGACTTAATGCTGTCCTTCTCATAGAACCCACATCGCTTGCATTTTTCTTTCTTAAGTTTTGTCAGAGGCTGAAAACATGATATCACAGTTTGACATTAGTAATTTATAAATAAAAATTCCACGTTTAACTAAGGTAACAAATCATCCAATTGTCTATAATGATCCCATGATAGAAGCAGTATACAAGAATTAATCAACTAGGCAATTCACTATTGATCCATCAACCATAAAGTATACTTCGAAGAAAAAATTGATGCATGCTTTTTTAAAAGATTAAAAGATAAAATAAATTTAAAAAATCCAATATTCAAACATCCACTGCAGATCTATATTCTATATAGGTTATTTCACATTTCCCAAGTAAGAAAGAAAAATGAACATCATACTCATTCACAGCTTCAAAGAGAACCAGAGGGGGAGGAGGAAAAAGAAAAAGAGGTTTGAAAGAGGGGTTCTTAGCAACAAGCACTATAACAACGTGGAATTACAAAGTCTAACGTTGACAAAAATCTAGGTGTAACATCATTTGCTGAAAGGAGGAATCACAGTGTCTTGTTTACCAGAGTCCGAAAAGAAAATTGATGGATAAAAGAATAAAGACAGACTTGAGGCAGCAGGAACTGACCATGGTAACTCTAAACTGTGCTACATATCTTGCAGACAGAAAAATTGAATACTCTTAGGCCCAGTTTGGTTGGAGGGTAATGGAAGGAAAAGAAAAGAAGGGTAATGGAAGGAAATGAAATGTTATGTGGTATAGACTTTTAAAGGAAAAGAATGGAAACGGAGAGGTTTGGAAGGATACAATTTAGGCGTAAGTGTTGGTTTTGTTATTCTCCCAAACATGGGAGGAAATGGATGGAAAGGGAAGGGAATAGAAGGCTAACCTTTTTAATGAAACTCTGTCAATAACAATTTTACCCTTATTTTTATAAAAGACAAAATCTAAAAAAGGGAACGATAGTAAATTCATTAAAGTAGTTTCCTTTCCTTTCTTTCCCCAAACATAATTACTATCATTTCCTTTCTTTTCCTTTATTATTCAAACCACATAAGTGATTAACAATATCCTCTCCTTTCTTTTCTTTTCTTCCCTCACAACTAATGTGATCTTTTCTTTTCTGCTGTATCAAACATAGGCTTAAGCAGGCTCCACAGTGTACCCAATTCCCTTGTTTATATACCAAAAACCATGCAGCAACAACTAAAATCTCCCAAGTACATTTGCTTCACAACTACATATGCTAGGGACTTTCAGTTCAATAAAATTGAAGAATGAGGAATCATTTATTCTCGCTCTCATTAAAATTGAAACCAAAAAGACTGCATGGATGATGAGTAGCGTCTCTGGACAAGACTAACAAGCATTATTCTATATTTCCAATAATTTCGAAGCCAAATAACATCGATGATGAGTAGTGTCTCTGGACAAGACTAACAAGCATTATTCTATATTTCCAATAATTTCGAAGCCAAATAACATCCAGATGTAAGAACCTACAACAGAAATGCAAACAAATTCATTCATCACAAACCTGCCAAGACTCTTCACCCTTGAAGGAATATAAGACATTTGCTTTCTTCACATCTGGCAAGTCAGTCTTGTGATCCCTCTTACAGTGAAAGTAAACCGTTGGATCGGCTGTTAGCCACTCATGAGTGTTAAAAATTTCAATAGAGTCAAGTGTGACAATTGCTGATGATATGAATCCTGGAGGAAGAAATCGAAAAAGAAAAAGAAAAAAAAAAAAAAAAAAAAGGTGCTATGAATCAGACTTCTGATGAGAAAACTGATGTCACAATTAACAGGCATCCATTATCTTGAACCAGTAGATACGTTGATCTCAAATGATTTTGCAGAACAAAAGTCTGAGTAATAGAGTTAAAATTAGTTGACATGATATTTTTTAAATTCGACATGAAATTCCTTAAACATTTGTCTCAAAATATTTTATGTTCAGTTTAATAACAATATTCAACCAGTTGAACGAGAAATTGAGCTTGCCACTGTTTGTAGACACTGACCATAAGATGTTCATAGTACTTTGGCTCAAGCGGTATCTCCTCTTCCTTCTCATATCGGAGGTTAAGGGTTCAAGTCCCCCATTAGGATATTTACGGTAATGTGGTGGTAATTTGGTTGCTGGCTGCCACAGTAACATCAGCCAGATCGATATAGTCAGTGTGCCTGAAAAGCATCACTCATATTAACCACCACAAGGGAATTCACTTGTTCCCAACAGCTCTATTGTGTTCTCATAAGTATAAGAAAACTGAAAGTAAAACGCTGATATAGCTTCCTTTTCTCTTTCTTTCGTTTTTATAATCTTTTTGCTGGTGTTTATGGAATATAGCTTCCCTTCTAATGCAATTTTTAGCATTCTCCTTTTTCTCCCCTCATTCAGTAAGAGAACAAAACCAAGGAAAAGTTTCTTGCCATTCTCTCCTTTTTCCTACTTTAATCAATGCGGAAACAAATAAGTCAATAGAATGTGAATCCAAGTCTCAGAGTAAACCCCGAGCTTCAAATTCACACACTCTCTGCCATTTCCTAATCACTCTCCCATTCTGATAATCCTCTCTTTAACAACTAATATTGATTATTTATACTCCAAATCAATAAATTTGTATAGAATTTTTACGGCAAGAACACAAATTATCCAAAATTGCATTCTCTATCACAGACAGCTCCATTCATTCATAAAAAATAACCATAATCAAGCAATTCCAGAAAATCACGTACAACAAACTGAAAATGTATACGTGTATTACATAATTTTATTACAATTTAAAACAAATAATTTTGATCTCATATAAATGAACTTGATCCATAAATTAGTGCCACAAACCAAAACAAAAACCCTAATTTTCGAAGAAAATCACCTGGAATCCGACTGAGTAGGATCAAACAAGGGAGAAGCGCAAACGAAGCACGACCTCGCATCGACATTGTGGCCTTAATCCTCTTAATATCGATTGATCAATCAATCGATCGATCAATGAAACAATTGGAACATTCTTTAGGCGATCGAGAGAGAAAAAGGAGTCGCAAAATGGGTTTCAGACGACGTCGTAGATGCTATGGCGATTTTGAGAAAGCTCTGATTAGTCTCCGAGAAGAGAGAGAAAGAAGACATAGGACCGGTTCGCGCGTTATTTAACAGTAGCTGATTTTGTGAGAGTCGTTGGGTTGGAGTAACGGAATGTTCTGATGTCGTGCTGCACAGGCGTACATGCACCGTCTCTCTCGGGTGACGTAGATTCTGAAGATTATCTAGCAACTTGAATAAATTAAGTAGTTTTTTTTTTTTTTTTTTTTTTTTAATTCAATATATTGGATAATACAATATGAAAATCATTAGGTAATAAACAAGTCTCTCAAAAACAAAATGTAAAAGCCCGTAAGAGTTCATTGAAGTGAAGAGTAAGACTTAAAATTAATAAAAGGATTAAAGTATTTTCTAGTTTGTAACTTTTTTATTTTTATTTTTGTAAATTCTAAAGGGGGGTTTTGGGAGGGATAAAATAAAGCTTAAACAGTAGCCATTTACTATCCTCTCAAAAATATAAGAAATGAAAGAAAAGAGAACAAAAGAATAATGTGATTTTACTATTATGAAATTTATCCTTAAATTAATTACTTAATTCAATTAAATCAATAAAGAGAATTCGTTATCATTTCAAAACTTTCGGCCACTGCATCGTCTTTTATAGTTGAAGCGACTCGGCTGGAACTCTTTCACAAGCCTCTTGATCCGATGCTGCTGCATAAAAGGCCTCGCAAACCGTAAAAATGATTGACTTCATATAACGAGGAAGGACTTTTTACAATCACATTCATTCGGAAAGCGCCCCCTCGCTTAAAGATTTGGTTTCGAGGGAGTGGGCCAAAAGCCATCAAAAAAATATGGAAAACTAGAATCCTTTCCCAGGACCGCTAACATCTATTGTTTTTTTGGAGGTTAAACGAACTAACATATGAATGGAACGGGTATTCGAACTTAGAGCTTTAGCCACAAACACCACTGCTCTTATTCCAGTGCACATAACAAACATCATTCACCACTGGCTGAAAACAAGGTTGGCAATATGCATCAAGTGCATTATCATAATTAGCATTCATTATACCATTCTTTGATCAAGTTCATCAATTAAATTTTTTTTTTTTTTTGGGTATAAATAAAGTGTTAATTGCCAAGTATTAGGCCCACGAACAATCTATCAATCTAATACCATAGATTTTTGTTAAGCTTCTTTATTTGATATCATGTGTTAAATAAATGGGTTCAAATTTGAAATGACCAAAAGCATGTTTAACGAGTTTCTGGTTCAGAAATAGTATGCTTAACTTACAAATTTATCTTTTAAAATGTAAAAAGATATAATGATAAAATAATTTTATTTTCTTTCCTTCTCCAAAGATTGATTATTATTATTATTATTTTTTCTTTCACTCTACTATTTGGTATAATATTGTCCGTTTTGGGCCTGACTCCGTACGGTTTTGCTCTTGAGTTTCACCCCAAAAGGCCTCATATCAATTAGAGTGACACACATATATATAAGCACTTCACTTTTTTCTCTTCTAGGCGATGTGGGACTGTGCACCCGTAACTCGTTAGTGTGGTAGCCTGTCAGTGTCTCATACCTGCCCACGGCACACCCGCCCACAGGGCCATCACAATCCACCCTCCTTTGGAGGCCCGACGTCCCCATCGGCACACTTCTGACTGGGTTAAGCTCTGATACTATTTGTAACGACCCATCCAACTACATGGTATGATATTATCCGCTTTAGGCCTAAGCCTGCAAAATTTCAAAATCTAACTCTTAATAGTTTTTCTGTACTCTCCATTTTAGTGCTAAAAATAATACTTTTTCATATTTAAATTTCGTAAAAGTAACAAATAGTCATTTAAAAATCTGGATTTTTTAGCACAAATAAGTTCATTATACTTAAAACTAATATTCTGGGCTTGTGAGTTAACTTAGCTAACCAAAATCTAATTTAAAATGGACCAATCTATCACATGGCCGCTTTGGGCCTGAACCAGCACCGTTTTGCTCTTGAACTTTATCCCAAAAGGCCTCATACCAATTGGAGTAACACACCTACATATAAGCACTTCACCTTCCCCTTTCCTAGGCGATGTGGGATTGTGCACCCGTAACTCGCCAGTATAGTAGCCTATCAGTGTCTCGCACCCGCCCACGGCATACCCGCCCACAGGGTCATCACATAACATTTTAAAAGTGAGTAAAAAATTATCCACTATAATATAGTGATTCTCTCGAAATGAATATTTTTGGGTTTAGCTCGCTCTTACTTGTGCATCTTCGACAGGAAGAGTCTCACAAAATACATTTTTTTTTTAATAGTTGATACTCATACACAAATATCTCTGTGGAGACTGAACCCTTAACCTCCTTTTGGAAAGTAAAAACCTGATATCGCTATGTCACTGGTCCGTTGGTAAATACATCCTATTTCTACCTTAATAAATGTGAAAAACATATAATTACCATGCAGTGAAATAAATTGAAGAATAACTAGCGAATTTTGATGTTAGATGCAGTTTGCGCTTTTGAACGTGTAGAAGTAGAGAGCCGTTAGTTAGTTGGATGACACAATGGGTCGCTTCTCGTCCAACCAACCACACATTGGGGGATTTGTTAGTGACTTGTGTGCTTCATGGACAGCCTTAAACTGCGGTTATTTCTGAAGGTTTTGTAGTTCAGCCCATGACAAAACGAGGCTATCAAGGCCTTTGCCTTTTATAGTGAAATGCATGCAACTCTACTCTCCTCAACAAATTACCTCCATAAAATTACCAAAATGTTCTCCTGTCACAAAAAGTAAGAGTTGTTTAGAAACTGAAATTAAACCCAAATTTTGGTATAACTTTGTAAATACCTTCTTCCTAGGAACACAAAACCAGGAAACAAACTAAGAGAACATGCAACCATAGCAATGCCAATATGGAGTGCTCGAGTTTTTGCAACCTTGATCATCTCCACCTCTCTTCACTTCCTCCTCGTATCCGCAGATGTACATAGGCACCAAAACCCCGGGCCAAAACACCCTAGAGGCGGAAGCAATGCCAAACCTGAGCCAAACCCACCGCCCATTCAGAGCAACCACAAGTTGTCTCCTGAGGCACAACAATACCTCACGGCCCACAACTTGGTCCGCCAGCAAATGCACGTATTGCCCTTGCAATGGGACGAAAACCTAGCAAATTTCGCGCACGGCTGGGCCGTACAGCGCATCAATGATTGCAAACCACACCACCATTCAGGCAGTCAATATGGAGAAAACACCCTATGGGCACAACACGACGAGTTGTCCCCGGATGGAGTGGTGAAAATATGGTCCGACGAGAAAAAGAACTATGACCATAGCAGGGTTGTGTGCACCTGCCCACCTAAACATCCAAAATGCATGTGCGGCCACTACACGCAGATTGTCTGGGCCACTACTCGCCGGGTAGGGTGTGGCAATGTCACATGCAACAACGATAAAGGCATACTTGTGGTTTGTTCATATGATCCGCCTGGAAATTTTGTCAATTTGAATCCGTTGATCGGCAACCCTAGTGATGCAACACATAACGAGTCATGTTCGCCTCCTCCATCTCCTCTTCAGCCTACAACTGCGCCATTGAATTCATCTCTGCCTTCAACTTCGGTGCCACATACTCATCAATCACATTCATCAAGTCCAATTCGAAAGCATTTAGCACCAAAGGAGCCTGATCCCCACAACACTCACATTACACGCAACCACCATGTTGGTCATGCACGGCCTGGACATGCCCGGTAGACATCCTAACAAGTTAGAGAAGAGTTGAGGACAGGCTGCTATCAGATTCCTGTATGTATATATCTAACTAGTGTATACCAATGACGAGTCTTCCTATTATTAGCTGTAAATTTAATAATATCTAAACCTATAATGATCACATTTGACAATTTTGCTTTTCTATGAACATTTTGAAGTTCATGCATTGAACATTTAATGCTATGTCAACAAACAATCTTTAGGAAGATTATGATATTTGATTGTTGATAAAAATTGGCCCTTCCCTTTTTGTTGATGACAAATAAGAGATGCAACTTTCAAGTCAGATCAATACATGTACTTCTCTAACTTATAAACAACAACAAAAGTGATGAAGTCTTTTACCAGAAGCAGTGAAGACACACCAGGAGTTTTATATACCAGAATTGAACATAGTGAACTCAACTTGTAGGCAAATCCTCCAAAAAATGGAGGATATGTATAGGGATGGGGTTGATCATTTCTCCAATTTGGTCTGGCTCTCCTTGCCAAGTAGTTGTTTCTCTTCGGTTCTCTCCTTCCTTTAAATCCAATCTACATTTACTGCTCACACAAATCATGGAGCTTGTCCAATATGATATATCATCATCATAATCATCATTACCTTTATCATATGCCAACAGTAAGATACATCCGCTTCTACTACAGATCACAAATGACAATCAAATTTATCTGCTGAAGCCAAACTACAAAAAGTTGTGGTGTTTCTTAAATTTTGCTCACAATGAATAAGCTTTTGTTACTATTAGATCAGTAACAGACCAATTACCCTCTTTTCACCACTAGTAGGCATCCTCAGGAAACCGTGTATATACTAGATTGTGAGTGAACATTTTCAATTGGTTCTTTATCTAGGATCTTATACTTCATATATATACGTACATCAACTATCAAATCAATGAAGGAGTCGTAAGCGAAAAACTGCACATACCCATCATGAGCTCATTTAGCTTTGCTTTTCCTGGCCCATGCCAATCAGTGTTCTAGTCGATGCAGTGTCCAATTCCAGTCGCTTGGTCCACACTAGAGACATAAATGCAGAGATCCTCAGGTTTCCAAACAGTAATCAAGGTATAATTAACAAGGAATGTTGAAACTGCCTAAGGGAAAAAAAGGGTTTGGGTATAAAAAATGAATCTCTGCGACTACCAAAAGATATGACCACTTTGTCAAGCTGTACATGATCTGCACTTCTTACAAGATACTATGTCACTTGGATGGCCCAATAAGAACCCAGGTTTTCTCTTTCAAAACTGAGCTACTATATTCTCCAGAGGCTAAATAACTGATGTGAAGTACTACCACATCATGGTGCCATCATATAACCTTTTCTTTTTGTTGGCACCATTTTTAGAAGTTATATTTCTGTATGCAGATTATAACCAACCACTAATTCATGCATTTCAGGTACATAGCCCAAACTGCTCATGTGATCCACCAAACCGTCCACCACTCTAATAATCTCATTTGCTTTGGAGTTAGAACAGACTTCTGCCCCAAATCGATAAACCCCATTTCCAATCTCGATCCAGCTGTACCCAGGATCTGTTTTCAGCCTTTTATCTTTCATCAATTTCCTTACTCTCGCCACCTGATCCCAATAACCAGCACTGGCATACAAATTCGCCAATTGCAAGTGAGTAGCAGCACACCATGGTTCCAGTACAAGCCTGTTCTCTGCAGCCTCAATTCCAATCCAAACATTCCCCTGAAGCCTGCACGATGAAAGGAGTGAGCCCCATATAATGGCATTGGCGTTAACAGGCATCTTTTTTATGAAATCTCGAGCATCTTCCAAAAATCCAGCTCGACCAAGAAGATCTACAATGCATGAATAATGGTCTAGTTCAGGTTTCAAACCAAATTTTAACATTGAGTTGAAGTAAATGTGGCCTTGTTTAACAAGACCAGCATGGCGACACGAAGAGAGGACGCCGAGGAAAGTAATGGCATCAGGTTTCACCCTTTGCTGCTTCATTTCTTCAAAAATATCAATAGCCTGCAATGCAAGTCCATGCTGAGAAAACCCCGCAATAATCGAATTCCAAGATACAAGATCCTTCCTATGCATGCTTCTAAATAAAAAAAATGCATCTTGAACATTCCCGCACTTGCAGTACATTGATATGAGAGCATTAGAAATATGTATGTAGGAAACAAAACCCAACTGAATTGTTTGACAATGAGCACTCCTCCCCTGTCCAAGAGACCCACTATCCATGCACGCACTCAAAAGACTCGTAAATGTAAAATCATTGGGTTTCAACATCGAATTCCTCATCTGACGATAGAGATCCAAGCAAACATCAACCTGCCATTCTTGTGCAAACCCACTTATGATTGTCGTCCACGAGACAACATTTTTCACAGGCATTTCTTCAAACACCCTATGCGCATTGTCCAGCACACCACATTTGCAGTACAAAGAAATCAAAGAACTCCCAACATAAACATTGGCGATGAACCCAGTTCTAATTGCCAGGCAATGAACTTGAATTCCCATTCCAAGTGTTCTTGCAGACCCACACGAACTTAAAGCATGTGACAACAGATATGGATCAATTCTCAGCCCTTCTATATGCAGTCGAAAGAGCATTGAAATCGAATCCTCTCTTGGATATGAATAAGCAGACTCATTACTAACACATTGTTTGGTGAATTGATGTGAATTTGTTTGTAAAAAGTCCTGAATGAGTCGAAGATGGTTTTGGCGATTGTGAATGACATTTGGCTTTGGAGATATGATATCTAGGACTCTCTGGGCCTTATCCAACCTCTTGATTTTTGTTGGGTGCGTTGATTTTTGAGAAGAGAAAGGCCTGATGTGTAACGGTGATGACAAGCTATGGCAGAGTGGTAAGAAAATGGCATATAAACATTGCTTTCTAAAACATTTTTTAAAGAAAATTGTATCCATTCCTAAGCATATAGCCCATTAATCTCTTCTTACATAACTTATGTGTAGCCTAGCGTACTTTTTAATTATTAATCTTAATTTTCTTATTGCTTTTATTGCTACTAATGTTAAGTCAGTAAATGATATATGCTATCAAGTCTTGACAAGTGCCACTCTCTTTATTCATCAATGGATTTAAAGTATTTCAACATTTTTCTGTGCAAATACAAAATTTTATATATATATATATATATATATATCAATTAATAAAGAGAGCTTAGTTGACCTAATTATATACTATTTTTTCTGTTCTTAAAAATTTAAAAAGAAAAAGAAAAATTACAGAGCTACTCACTTGGCAAATAACATTCTCTCTTTTTTTATTATTATTTTTTATTTTTATCATGTCTTCCTGCTGTTTTATTTAAATAGGATTCGGATGGGCATGCCATTTTATAGAACCTTACTTGAAGAAGCCAAATCTGAATTGGGAAATGTATGTTCTCTCACCCACCTGGTAGCTACAAATTCTATGAGAGACAAATATATCATTTGTAAACACACAGTTTTCATAATCTGTAAAAATTTTTAACCCTACTTTACCAAAACAATATGAAGAAGTTAAATATAACAGCAACTCTCTTCAACTTCACTTTCAAAATAATTCCAAGATAGTAGGTATACAGGTAAACAAGACATGAAACGTTTTCTAATTCATCATCTGCATTTGGTAACACAATTCCATAACAAAACCCCCAATCCCCGCCCAAAAAAAAAAAAAAAATGGCATTTGATTGCTTTCAAGAAATGGTTCATAACAAGTTCACCTTGCAACTTAGCTCTCTTCATATTGGGGTTTCTACAAGTCAAGCTGTTACAAATCTTGGCAAAATGCTATTCTATTATGGCTCTTCCTAGAACTTGTTAAATCTATTCATCATTCCTCCGGTTGTGCACATTTACGTTTGTCTTCACTGAACTTTTGAAATTCATCAAGGGAGGCTTCCTCCAGAATCTGCAGTCCTTGTGGCTTGGTAATTTTTAGCTCTACCGAGTCTCTTCCCTGATCTATGAATCGGTCTCTGCCTCTTTTTGATGATCTTCAATGCTAAGGTTTTCAATGGAACTGTAATGTCCAGGGGCAGAAGAATTTCTTCTAATTCATGCCACTCCAGATCTTCAAAATCACCATCCTCATACACCACCCTGTACCAACCTGATTCCTTGTCAAACTCGGTCACTTTCCCATTATAAAGCTGCTCCCCAAACAACTTGCGAACTTCTCTTCCTACCAACCATTCGCCAAAACTTACATTTCTGTGTGATTCTACATCACTTGTGATGCCACAGAGAACAAGCGTACCGTCATTTGGAGACACAGGTGGCACCCCATTTATAACAACAGCAGGTTCTCCAGATAACTCAAAAACCCCAGTCGATATAGACTCTGATTCGTCTTCGTTGTGTTCATTCTCCATTTCAAGTGATCTTTCTTGCAGAACGAATTCAACCAACTACACACACGAGGAACGATCTGATAACTTTTTTAACAAGTACTATAATAGATCACATTAAGGCTTTGAAGTGTGACCAGTAGCCAAAAAACCTAAGCAAAATTGAGCCAAGAGAGAAGATGATTGGCAATAACATGAATCTGCATCACCAGAAAAATGAAAGTACAAACTCATAAGCATCTATAAAGAATTGTTGTAATGTGGCACAAAAGCTCACTTGTTATGAAAAGTGTTAAATTTTCTAAGACAACTAAAGAATGAAATAATACATAATATTCAGATCATGGAAAAACTTTTGTATATCACCTCAATGTTCCTGTGGAAGTTATGCTTCATTGCCAGTAGCGAAGAGTGAGTTATTATGCAAAAGAAACTGATCAAATCATTGCCATAATCTGTTTCGGATTATATGACTGCACGTTTGTTTAAAAAAAAAAAAAAAAAATTAGCTGTTGGGTTACTAAGAAGTAAGAATGACTCATCCTTTGTTTGGATAGAGAAGGTATATATTAACCAACAGAATGCTTTTATCTAGATAGAGAAGATATTAGACATATTTATTCCATAACCTTTGCAGCAATTAATGGACATCAAGAAAATATCTTTTTACCCAAATGGAATGTAGCTGCCTCCTAAAGTAAGCAGCCTACATTAAAGAAACTCAATCGGAGAACTGCAATTAACCTTTCTAACCAGTAACTCTTCTAAAACAAAAAAGCAAAGTGAGAAGCTGCTCTTCAATTTATTATTTCTTGTTGTTATTATTATTATTTTTTCCCGATTTCCTTCACCCATTACAAAATAGAGATTATAATCCCAACATGGTCGGTGGTCCATTTCCGTATTTGAAAAACATAACGAAGTATATTTGAGTATCTTTGAAATGTGTATATTACAAAACCATCCAAGGTACAAATTGGATCAGCCATAACTTTGCCAGTATAATGCTTTGCTAAATATCTATATGTAAACTGCCCATTGTGCCTTACACCATTACAGTTGTGTTTATCATTGAACTTCTTGATTTGGAATGAGTAATCTTCAGTGTTTTCAGAGGCATAAATCCTCCACCCACATTCTGCCTTGCATGTAACAATGACTTTATCTCCATCATTCTTCACAAAATTTAGGTCAAATTTCCCTTTTATAGCTGTATCCCTCAGTGTTTCTCTAAATTCTGCTGCACAACCAAACTTCATACCTACTTCAAGTTTCTTGTTTCCCAAGTCTGTATGCACATTGAAAATTGGATAAGAGGGACCACTTGTGACATCATCCTCATCCTCTCCCCCACTTGAATATACCAAACTTACCAACTCTTCACTTGTTGCTTATTCAGAGACCTTTTCATTATCATCCTATTTATCAGATTTAATCTGAGGATGTGTTGCATCAATCTCTCCATGTGCTTCATGTTCACCATTCCTTACTTCATGTTCCTCATTTGTCACTCCATTTGCTTCATTTACTACATCCATCATGTCTATCATAAAATTGTCATCATAGAAGTCCAACAAAATATTCACAACTCCACCATCAGTTTCAGCAAAATTCTCTGCCTCACCTTCAGTTTCAGCAACATTCTCAGGCCCACCTTCAGTTTCAGCCATATTTTCATATTCTGCATTTCCATTATACTCATCTTTTGCATTTCCATCATACTCATCTTCTGACACCACATAAATTTTAACAATAGAGAAACTTTGGTACACTTGGAACATAGCAATGATATTCATGTCAGTCTTCAGTTCCTGAACATTCCCATCAATCTAAGACGTGTAGAATAACTTACTTGTACGAGGACAACCAAACAATCTCAAAATGTATTTGAATTCAATGATTGACAATCGATTACTATCTATACCTTGATAGTTCTCAACAGACCCACCAACATAAAAATTTTGATCTATGCCACTAAAGTGACCACCATAATGGACTTCACTTCTGAAAGCCAGGATTAAAACCTAGGGATAATTCCAAAAAAAATAGATTTTTGGAGGGGAAAGGACAAAATCATGGAGCCAATCTACTGTTTCCAAAAAAATGAATTTAAGGAGGATAAATGCCAAAATCATGGAAATCTACTGTTCATTGTATTTTGACTCCCAAACTGCCCTTTGAATATTTGCTGTCTCAACTCTCAAAAGAACTCTTGAACTCCTCTTTTTATGACCTGCGGCCCTCTGCTCTCTTTCTCTTCCTCCTTCAAGCTCTCTGCAATACTCACACTGCCCTGCCACTGCCAACCACCGCACCGACTGGAGTAACCCAAATCTGCGTGCACCATCTCACCAAATTTCTCCCTTCATCATTGAAATTTATGTGATGGGAGAGAATAAATTAAAGGGGATGTAAAATTCAACCTTGGATGTGTGTTCACATGGGCATGGATTTTATTTTCATCTTCTTCTTCTTGTGCGTCTTCAACTTTGGATTGAGTTTGAATCTAGGATGGATATTTTGAAGGAGAGACCAAAAAAGGAAAAAAAAAAAAATCAATTGGTGCGGTGGTTCGCCGGACAGATATGGTATGAGTGAAGCTTCGCGAGAATCAATGGAGCTTAGTAGTTTGTTTTCCACAGACTAAACTGAAGCTCCCTGGGTTTGACGACGAAGTACTTCTGATTGCCATGGAACCCACACCTCCATCACGGTGGACGGTTCGGTTGTCACTGACGAGGGTCTCTTGACGATCCTCTGGGCCTTGATTGCGGCGCTTCATTGTTGTTTGCCGTTCTATATCGCCGGAAAGAGAGATGAAGAGACAGAGAAAGGTTAGGAAAAAAAAAAGTAAAGTTGGTGGAGGGGTAATAGAGTTATTTCTCAAGGCATTTGAGGGGCAATTTGGTAATAAAAACAAATTCCATGTTTTTGGAAACTTTGACTTTGACAACACATACTTTAAACAAAAAATTTCAACTAATAACAAAATTCCAACAGTTCTGACAAAACAATATACCCAAATTTTTAAAATTTTAAACATCAAATCTCAATCCTATACAATAAATAACAATTCTCACAACAAAACCCTTATTTAAAGCCACTAATTTCAACCAAAAAAAAAAAATCACAAATCCGTATATGGCAAATAAATAAATCCCTAATTACACAATAACTTAATTACCAAAATAAAAAAACAATAATTTAATCCTTGGACCACAACACTAAATAAACTCCGAATCATTTCAATACCATAACATTAAAACATTGAACCCTAATATACTGCAAAACAGATGGAACCAGACCTACCCCACATTGTAAAGCAAAGAATATAAAATTCCAAGTAGTAACAAACTACAACAATTAATCAAGGGTTAATTTCACTAACACCCCTCAGGTTTGGCCAAATATCACCCTCAAACATCTTTCGAAGATAACTATCACTCACATTACAAGCTTTTGTTCCGTTTTTCACTCACACCCCAACCGTTACTTGCAGAGTTTTGACACGATGTAAAATGACTTAGTATCCTTTGTCTTTGTCAAAATAACTCTTTAACCTAAAGAATTAGATAAAAAGACTACACTATCCCTAAATATTTTGTAAATTTACAAATTATATTATATATATATATATATATAGAGAGAGAGAGAGAGAGAGAGAAAACTTTGTGGGTGGTGGGCTTCTCTGGAGAAAGATGATGGGGTTCTCTCATCAATTCAGCCAAAGAAGCTCTTCAAAGATGGAGAAAAGCCAGTTCGTGCTAAGAAGCCATTGAAACAAGTTAAGGTCGTGGCAAGTCGGTATAACCGGAGCTCAGTTCAGAATTCGGCAATGAGAAAGACATCTTTATTGAAAAATGATAGTGATGATGTGAAGAAGCTAAAGAATAAGCCGGACAGAGCTGAGGCGGGATGCTCTCTACGCCTTCCCGCTTTCGCAATGTGATTAGATTATAGCGTATAGTATCAGCAATAGGCACTTCACTGATAGTTCCCCATCCATAATTTCCAAATACTCTTGACTGGGCAGCGACCCCCGCACGCCTCCTCGTTATTCACCAAGCCCCGTCTCTTCAACCCCTCCAACGAACGGATTCCAATTCACCCCCAGCTACCCCATTCGCTGATCGCAAAAAAAAAAAAAAAAGATTCAAACAGTGAAGAATCGCGCTTCATCGGTGAGTAGAGTAGTGGTACTCTGCCGGAACTAGGCCGTGAACAACGAACGGAGAGCAGAGTGGAGAAGAAGTGGGAAATTCCCAGTACACCATTGATGGTCCCTGCAATTTTCCATAAAATTTTTTTGATGGACAATAGTTTTCCATTGTCCATTAATAAAATTTCCAATATGTTTAGGAGGATTAGGACTGCCCTTTGCATCATTGACAGTCCCCGTGATTCAGGACTGCGAAAAGGGTGGCTGAATTGATTGGAAGTAGATCATACTTTTGCACCGAAGAAGGGATTGAGCCATCAGTTTGTCAAGCTTTGAGTTTTGCGGAAGGAGAGGTTGAAGATTGATAAGTGAAAAATAAGGAGATTCCTTTCTTTTTTTTTCCATATCTCTCACTTTTAAAATTCTAATTCTGAAATTTAGGTTCATTGATGTGGAAGCTTCTAGTTTTGTCCTCTTTGTTATGTATAATGGGAAAGCTGTTGTCTTTATTCTCTGGATTGTTTCAATACTAATGACAATTGGGTAAGCAACCAAGGGCGGATCCAGGATTTCTCAATGGGGTGGGCTAAATCAATATATATCAACCAAAATCAGCTGTTGTTTAATTCTATTTTAGATAACGAACAATGTTTCTTTAGACAATTGATTGATTAAGGTATAGAAAATCCTATTTGGGTAATTAATAAAAAAAATTACCAATTTATTTCTGAACAATTCACCACTAAGTACCCTATCTCTTCTTTTGACTAATTTACTAATCCTATTTGAGAATCTACTAGTGCAAGCAGATTGTGAGGTAGTTCATGGCAAGCCCCTTCCAACACTATGGAATTCGCTCAAAAGCATGCTTTTTGTAAGTATTTTAATTTTCAAGAAGTAACTTTACAGCTTTACCCTATATTAGGTACTTTTGCTATGTTGATAAAAATTGTTTCAGATTCAATCTCTGCAGATTTCTAATCCAATTCAGATTTTTTTTTTTTCTTTTTTCATGCCCAGATTCAAATTTTCTTGTAGACATAATTGACAAATAAAAAATTAGAAGCTCAAAATGCAATGCAATGATAAATGCAAATTTTGTTACCTTATGTTGTAAAAAAAAATATTATATAAAAAAGATCATAAAAAACTTCACCAAATAGGATTTAGTTTGCAAAACAAGAATCACAGACCTTGATTAGTTGATTTAGAAAAAAAAATAAAATAAAATAAAAACAAAACCCATACATACAAGTTAGCAGTTGCAGAGAGAGAGGGGGGCAAGCTTGAGAGTTGAGAGACAGCGGGCCAGCGACTGAAGCTTGCGAACGGCGCACCCGAACTGGAACAGCGGCCGATGGAAACTGAAAGATATGGGTTTTGATTTTTTGAACAATCTGAAATGATATGCCGATATGGGTTTTGATATAGGTAATAGGTTTTGAACTTTTGATTCTTGCAGACAGATAGATAAACTGAAATATATGGGTTTTGAACTTCTAATTCTTGTAGATTTTGTAGTTTGCAGTTGCAGAGAGGGAGAGAGGGGGGGGGGAGAAGTTCAGAGTAGAGAACGAGAATACAGATGGAGGCGATTGGGAAGGCTGAAATGATTTGCCCTAAAAACATATACATATATATTTTTTCTGGTGGCCCATCATCCGTGGGCCTATAAATTTTGAGGTCCCAGGCAACGCCTTTGTCAACTTGGGTTAGGGCTGGCACTGGGCTTATTTGGCTTGGACCATTATTTTAGTATGGTAGTTGAATTGACTTGTGTTTGATTGGGTGGATTAATTTTGGGGTGGGCTAATACTGTTAATAAAGATATATATATATATTTTTGGACTGGACTAAAATATATATATTTTTTTTAGTAGACTCAAGCTCACCCCTACATCCGCCCTTGTAAACAACTAAACATACTTTTGCTTCTGGCTTAATGGGTAATATTTTCTCTTGCTTTGTAACTATAGTTGTAAAATAAATATGATATGTATAACAATGGAGATGACTTGTTTTCTTTAATTGGATTATGAAATTTTAGTTTTATACTGTCTTGGTTGGAGCACCGATGAGGCGGAAAGCCCAGATCTGTGTGGGTGTTGGTGGTAAGTTGGTGTAATAATAAGGATATAACGGTAATTTAAGTAACTTGATATTTTAGAATAAATAGGATTAAAAAAAATCGGGACAAAGTTGTCTATTTTTCATATTTTTAACGGAAACTAGGACGAAAAAGTAAAAATGGACCTAAATAATAATTATTTTTGAAAGATATTTGAAAGTGATATTTAGTCAAATTTAAGGAGAGTATAGTGAAATTAACTCATTAATCAAAAGTGATCCATACTTGAAATCATCTTGTCTAGCAAAGGCGACACAAACCACCTCGAATCCAACAACTTCATGACCACCAACTGTGACTCCTTTGTTCAAACAAACACTTATAAAATTAGGCTAAGGGTTTCGTTCGAACTGTAAACGAAGGGATTGCTTGAAAATCAGAGCAACATAGATGCGACGCTACATTTGGAGCAACGCATACCACCCACACACACAGAATATTAGGGCTTTCTTTGCCTTTGAATGACTAAGGATTAATATGACATGGTTTTTGCCCATAAAGGCATACTAGTCATTTTGAAACTACAAATTTTGTGGCTTAAAATACTAATATAATATTGAGGTCAATTGGTCATTTAACATTCACTTAATGGCTCAGTCACGTAATATATCTCTTGATAGTTTCTTTTTTTTAAAAGGTAATTTGATTTTAGGGTTAATTACAATGACACCCTCTAAGATTTGTCATAATGACCGCCATATATAAATTAGGTTATTTTTGAACAATAACACTTCTGTCAGAAATTGGATCCAAACAAGTCCTTAAAAGGTGTGAAAAGTCAAGATTGCCCTTCAATATTTTATTAATTTAAATTAAAAAATAATCAAAACTCCTAAATGACATTTTTGCCCTTGGTTTGTCATCAGTGCCACTCTTTCTAACCTCTAACCTTCTTCATCAGAAACCTTAAACACTGCCACACTTCCACAACCACAACAAAAAAAATAGAACAACTAGCAACCATACCTCTCAAAACCTAACCCTCACAAACCCACCACCACAACAGAAAAAACAGAACAATGACCTCTCAAATCCTAACCCTAACAAACCCACCACCACAACAAAAAAAACAGAGCCATGACCTCTCAAATCCTAACCCTAACAAACCTAACACCACCACAAAAAAAACAGAGCAACGAAGAACATGACCTCTCAAATCTGTGTTAGTGAAGATGTGTGTGCCACAAACATTTTTTTTTTTTTTTTATGCAAAATTTTGTTTTGTGTAGAGTTGATGAATCAAGTGGATCCCCAGTTATGGTTTGCCTCTGCGAGGAGTACGACGCAGGTGCCACGGATTAATTCATTGGTCTATTACTTTCCTGAGGGCCATACCAAGAACGTTAATGCTGAGTTGCCGATTATCAAACAATTTCATAGGATGATTACTTCTTGATAAGGACGGAACCAAGATGTAAGGTAAGAGGGGGCAAAAATGTATTTTGGGGGGGACAATAGTGCATTTTTTTAGAAATTTCAGTGGGGCAAATGTAATATTTAATGGGAATATTACTGAAAATAAACAAGTTACAAGGGTAGATTACTAAAAATAAAAAATCAATGTACATTCGTCCCTGCTTGTCGAGTATCTTCTGTGCATTTACGTTCTGATCCAATCACAGACGAAGTGTTTGTTGAAATTGGATTGGTTCCATGCCATGAGCCGCCTGGACAGCAGAGACATTCAAAATGTTCGTGCTACTGATGTCGTACGTAATCAAGCGTCGTTTAAAGCTTTAACAAAGTCTGGGAGCCTGTATGTTTTTAAACACACGGTAACAACGATATTTCCTACCTTGGATTCCCCGGATGATCCCCTTCTCATATCATTTTTGCTAATGATCCACACCGTTTTCAAACACATCAGGAAATCGAGAGGGCAAGATATTTTGTCTGAAGGTTGGAGAAGGTATGTTGGGAACAAAAATCCTGTGGAGGGAGATGCTTTAGTCTTCGTGAAGTCTGAAGCTGATTTAGTTTTAGTTGGGATCGCAAAACAAATTAATAGCATTCAAAGGTCAACATTAATTAGCGAAGCATTTTCTAAGGCAACTGGAGGGATTCCTTTTGATGTCACATACTATCCACGGGCAATTGGTCCACAGTTTTGTGTAGGTATGACTGATGTTGACAATGCATTGGAACTTGATTGGTGTGAAGGGGTGTGGTTACAAAAGACATTTGAACCCATGCTTAGAAAGACAAGCACTGCATTTACATATAAGCAATATAAAAACAGAAAATTAGAAACTTATAATCATAATACATCATAATAGAAAATTCATTTTGCATAAGAAATTCAAGCAAGACTCAAGTTTATAACAGCACATTTTATGACGGATCGAAGAAAAAAAAAAAAAAAAAAAAAACACTATTACTCTATAATACGCGTGAAAATGCAACTTCCTTCCAGAAAAAGATTAAAAATAAATAAATAAATAAATAAAAATAAAAATAACTTACTCAATACATATATGCGTGAATATTATATTTCCTATTACATTCCCTGTTGAGTTTTCACAAAAATTTAGGCAAGAAACCAGTTCCCAACAATTTTTGAAAGAAAAAGAAAAAAGAAAGCACTTAAAACATAACTCAGGAAAAAGAAAAAAGAAGGCCCAGAAAACATACAAATTCAAATAACTATATAAAAAATAATAATAATAATAATAATAATAATTAAAAAAAAAAAAAAAAACCCTAATTTCATAACAATAAACCCTCAAATCCTAACATGTAAGCAATACAAGTCATATGTTCATGGTTTACAATAGCAAACCCTAAAATCTTAACAATAAACCCCAAAAAATAAATAACAAACCCTAATTGCAAGTCACCGTCATAGTTAGAAAACCTAATTTGCGATCAATATAATCAAAACAAAAAAACCCTCACATACAAAATCATAACAACAAACCCTAAAATCTAAACAGGCAAACAACGTTTTATACATACCTCGTGCTCATAAAGCCCTAGTCGCAATCGTTCGTAGTTTCCTGCTTTGCGACAAAGGGTGGGCATCGTTCAATCATCTGAATTGTAGATATTAAAAATGTCAACTTAACAAACCTGATAGGACCTATAGAATTTTTTGAAAAGCATAAGCTAGCATTTCATAAAAAACCCTATCAACTATAGTCACAACTACAAACTTCAGATTGGTTAATGCTAAGGTTTCAAGTATAAATGAACCACAACTAAAAAAGAAAGAACATTTGACGCAAAAGAAATGAGCACTAAACTTCAATTTTGTTAAAAGCATAAGCTAGCATTTCTACCTTTAAAGTTGAATTGCTATGTACCTGTAAACTGATAAAATGGTTATTCTACATGTGCGCTACAAGAACTCAACTGTTTATATTTTACACCTATTTCATTACATATGAAACACATTTAGCTTCAATTGGAAGTGAACATCAACCATGGAAATATTAACCCATATTGGAAGTATGTCAGTTTTTTTTTTTCTTTTTTCTTTTTTTCTTTTTCATAATGAGCAAGACGGAAAAAATCTTCATTAATCAAATATATGCTTACCATCTTAATACTTCACTCGATCATAAAACCAGAATATCACAACTTTCGTGAATAAACTATCCCACAAAACCAAATTATATTGCATAGACACGTCCATAACCAAATCAAGTAGTTCTTCTATCAACAAATATTGAGGGGGAAAAAGGCATGTCGTAATTATTGAGCATACAAGGGAAAAAAAAGGTACATACTTTAAATTCTAACACAGGAAGCAAGACCTCTCTGAAACACATCAGGTATCATAATCTTCATTGAAGAATGAAAAATCCTCACCTCTCGTAAAATTAAAGCAAAAGAAAATACATCCACTTTGGTATCATGTTCTTCATTTCTGAAAACCTCCAGAGCCCCATATTTGCCTGTTTATGATGGAAATATAATTAAGTAACAACTATAATTTCATAATCTGGCATTTCTGTCAAAAAAAAATTCAGAATAACTTCAGCTAGTTGAGGAAGAAAATTTATGCTCCAAGTAATAGCTAATTTCTACACGAATTAAAGATAATGTAGAAAAGTCAACTACACTTGTGTACCATGTAAATGGAAAGAGTCGTCATGTCAACAATTTCATTACAAAATAAGATTCAAAAGATATTTCAATAAATTAGGGATATAAACATTATTCCACTAAGGAAGAACACTCACGAGATGTGTCTTGACAGGTCAGAGGCTTATCCTCTTTGACTCTGCTGATAACTTTTAGCAACTTGCTAATTCCAAAATTTGCAACTTATACATACCCAGAATCATCGCGCAATATATTTCTGTAATAAGAAAGTGACTCCATTTTCAGATGTCAATAGGGTGAAAAAGGGGAATTCAATTGAAACTTCATGCAAGTGTATCCATCTTTCATGCGTTTGTTACACTCACCTCCCCTGTGTTTTGGCATATTACAATTACCCCCTCCAGTTTGCACGTTTGACAAATACCCCCCTACCGTGATACTACCGGTCCCATGACACTACTGGTCAGCAATACCCCCCTACCGTTGCACGTTTGACAAACTACTATAAATTTAAGATTTGTGTTTACAGTCGTCCAAGCTTCAACAGAGATTCCCACAAATCCAGCAAATCTCTTGCACAAACATACCAAATCCTTAGCTCATTTCAATTATGTTCACATCATGTACCATTTGCCCTCCTACATTTAAAAGAAAAGAAAAAAGGAATTGATTTTTCTCCCCAGTGTTTTAATATTTACAAAACATGTTCCCAAAAATTATTCCACCAAACACAAGGTGTACCACTGAGTTATTCTTTAATTCTTATTCCTATTAGACTAGATGGTTACGTTTGCAGCAATCAACTCATGCATGCCAAAAATCCTAACTTCTGTCTTTTTAGTGGTCACATAATTAAGCTAAATAATTTAATATATACTCATAAAGTCTTTCCCATGTCCAATCTCTCTTAAAACTATTTTATATCTCTTTCATCTACCAGTATTTAAGACAATTGGTTTATTTTTTTTAATATATTTCAGACTCAAAGACATTTTTTTAGCCACTTCCCCTTTTAGCAAATTAATGGTCGTTTCCATCCATTCTTTACGTTGGTTGTTACATGACACTTCAGTATTGTGGATATTAATAAAATGTGAGTACAATAAATGAAGAAAATAATTAGGATCTTTCATGCTCTCTTTTGTGTGTGTGTGCGTGTGTATGGAAATGATCTATTGGTTGTTAGATTAAAAATTAAAAATCCTACGATAATTCCAATATTCACCTTCGCTGCCTGTGACTCTAATCATCTAGATACTACAATGGTCCCTTTAGGAGGAAAGAAATGGAAGGAAGAAAAAACTGAAGGACCGAATTGGCTTTCATTGTTTGGGATGAGGAAAAGGCGAAGGGAAGAGAAGAGGAGGGAAGGCCTACCCTCAAGGCTCACCAGATCATCTGACAATCTTCTAAAAGTAGCATATTAACTAAAGCAAGTCCAGAATAAATGGAGATAAAGATCTTGCGATATCAAATGCGAATCTCACAGCAGTTGTTGGTCTTAAGATTCCTTTTTGTTTTACGAATGCACAAGGATCACCCTGCAAAAGGCATAGTAATATTGATCAGGATAGGCAACCGTTACTTGTGATACAAACCAGAACAAAATAATCTTAGAAACATAGTTAGTTATCTTTCACAGGCTGATCACATAAAATTTTTGTCAGAGAAGCCAGAAAAGAATAACAAAATGCTATGGTTAGTTATCTTTCACAGGCTGATCACATATTATCAGGATTCTAGCTTAAAGCCAGGTAGGCCTGCACAGACATTATGAGATTTAAAACTCCATTTAAAATAATCACATTTAAGAAAGAATAAGAACAAGGAGTTTGTGCCAGTATGTGCAACAAACTACTTCAATACAAATAACCTGTCATCCACATTAATTGCATAGTATACATTAAAACTCAAACAGGAAGTACAGGCCCAATGAACCTCTGCACACATATCCACCACCATTTGTTAATTGTTTTAAAAATATAACAAGTTTTAAATTTGGGATACAAGTGAGATTTATCAAGGATCCAATAACATAACAGGACTTCTAAAACAGTGATTTCTTAGGTGTGAATTCGTCTAAGAGCACGCGATGCTGTAAAACAAGACAAATAAAGGTAATATACATCAACTTCTGTACTATTCAACTCTTTGTACTTTGTATATCATCGTAATTGTACTTCAATATATAACTTTATTCTTTTAATGTGTTGGGGTTTCAAAGTTAAACTGTCTTTCATTTGCAACAAGCACCGTATGAGTCTTCTAATATTTTACGCTACCAATTACTTGATTACTAACATGGTTTGCTCACACAAGTGGGTAGCCAGATTCAACACAATATTGCTTGCAAATAAATACAATAGCATGAACACATTTAGTTGATTACAGATTTACTTACTTGCGCTATATTATCAACTATCAGCAACGCGCTTTCTGGACCGAGAACCGAATATTAATTTCCATGAAAAAATGCATACATACTCAGTACTGTGAGAGTACATGTGATAATGGTCAACCAAAGAAGAATTAAAACCACTATTATCAGAAGCATACTAGAATTAGTGCTCAAGAAGACAACAGGTAATTCTGAAGTTTGAATTATTCATTCTATTAGGATTTAGGAAATTTAATTTTAAGTATAATACAAAAGGAAAATTAAATTAAAAATTGCACTAACCATCAGCTTCAAGTTGATTATTCCTTTGGTGTCCTTTGCACCTCGATGATTCTCCCTTCGCAATCTGTTTCTTCAGCATATCAACGCCAAACACCATAACTGGAGAATGTTGTTGACTACCAGGGCCTGGTGGTGTGGAAGGTACAAGTGGAATCGAGTTCTTGTAGCGAGGGAGTGGTTGGAGTGGTACAACAGTCCACGGGCTAACGAAGTTTTCCATCCGATCCGAGTGTTGCCATCTTACCCGAACATCAAATTTAAGATTATAGAAAGTACTATGACAACAAATTTATAATAAAGCCAAAAAAAAGTTTAATTCACACACTTGCAAAAGATTCCATGGATCTTCCCGCCTAGTTGAGGCACTTGACCTTTAAAAAACTTTAATCCTCTGGAATTTTCAGTTTCAAATGTCTTTTGTAACCACACCCCTTCACACCAATCAAGTTCCAATGCGTTGTCAACATCGGTCATTCCTACACAAAACTGCAGACCAACTGCCCGTGGATAGTATGTGACATCAAAAGGAATTCCTCCAGTTGCCTTAGAAAATGCTTCGCTAATTGATGGTGACCTCTGAATGCTATTAATTTGTTTCGCGATCCCAATTAAAACTAAATCAGCGTCAGACTAAAGCATCTCCCTCCACAGGATTTTTGTTCCCAACATAGCTTCTCCAACCTTCAGACAAAATATCTTGCCCTCTTGATTTCCTGATGTGTTTGAAATCCCAAGTTATAGGATCATTAGCAAAAATGATCTCAGAAGGGGATCATCCGGGGAATCCAAGGTAGGAAATATTGTTGTTACTGTGTGTTTGAAAACATACAGATTCCCCCTTTATGTCAGACTTTGTTAAAGCTTTAAACGATGCTTGATTACGTACGACATCAACAGCACAAACATTTGAATGTCCCTGTTGTCCGGAGGCTCATGGCATGGAACCAATCCAATTCCAGCAAACACTTCGTCTGTGACTGGATCAGAACTTAAATGCACAGAAGATACTCGACAAGTAATCATCCTATGAAATTGTTTGATAACCGGCAACTCAGCATCAATGTTCTTGGCATGGCCCTCAGGAAAGTATTAGACCAACGAATTAATCCGTGGCACCTGCGCCGTACTCCCGCAGAGGCAAACCACAACTGGGGATCCACTTGATTCATTAGCTCTACACAAAACAAAATTTTGCATAAAAAAAAATAATAATAAAAATTTGTCTGTGGCACACACATCTAGCCTTCTCGTCATCCACCAAGCCCCGTCTCTTCAACCCCGGCAACGACCAGCGTGGAATTCACCCCCGGCTACCCCGTTCGCTGATCGCAAAAAGGAATCGCACTTCATCGGTGAGTAGATCACGTGGTACTCTGCCGGAACTAGTGCACCTTTGATGGTCCCTGCAATTTTCCATGAAAAATTATTGTTGGAAAATAGTTCTCCATGGTCCATTAATAAAATTTCCAATATGTTTAGGAGGATTAGGACTGCCCTTTGCATCGACAGTCCCCGGGATTCAGGACCCACGAAAAGGGTGGCTGAATTGATTGGAAGTAGATCATACTTTTGCACCAAAGAAGGAATAGCCATCAGTTTGTCAAGCTTTGAGTTTTGCAGAAGGAGAGGTTGAAGATTGATAAGTGGAAAATAAGGAGATTCCTCTTTTTTTTTTTTTTTTTTTTTTTTTTTTTTTTTTTTTTTTTTCATATCTCTCACTTTTAAAATTCTAATTCTGAAATTTAGGTTCATTGATGTGGAAGCTTCTAGTTTTGTCCTCTTTGTTATGTATAATGGGAAAGCTGTTGTCTTTATTCTCTGGATTGTTTCGATACTAATGACAATTGGGTAAGCAACCAAGGGCGGATCCAGGATTTCTCAATGGGGTGGGCTAAATCAATATATATCAACCAAAATCAACTGTTGTTTAATTCTATTTTTGTTAATTAACAATGTTTCTTTAGACAATTGACTGATTAAGGCATAGAAAATCCTATTTGGGTAATAAATAAAAAAAATTACCAATTTATTTCTGAACAATTCACCACTAAGTACCCTATCTCTTCTTTTGACCAATTTACTAATCCTATTTGAGAATCTACTAGTGGAAGCAGAGTGTGAGGTAGTTCATGGCAAGCCCCTTCCAACACTATGGAATTCGCTCAAAAGCATGTTTTTTTTTAAGTATTTTAATTTTCAAGAAGTAACTTTACAGCTTTACCCTATATTAAGTACTTTTGGTTGTCAAAGTTCTGGTTATGATTTTTTTTTAGTTCTGAAAAGATTTCCATCTTCAAAAAGCTTGGCATGTTGATAAAAATTGTTTCAGATTCAATCTCTGCAGATTTCTAATCCAATTCAGATTCTTTTATTTTCTTTTTTCATCCCCAAATTCAAATTTTCTTGTAGACATAATTGACAACCAAAAAAAAAACAGAAATAGAAGTTATAGAAATTAATATATATATATATATTTGTTTTACTGAAATAAAATGTAGATTATGGTGATTACCTCAAAATGCAATGCAATGATTACCTCAAAATGCAATGCAATGATTAATGCAAATTTTGTTACTTTATGTTGTAAAAAAAATATTATATAAAAAAGATCAAAAAAAAAAATTCACCAAATAGGATTTAGTTTGCAAAACAAGAATTACAGAACTTGATTAGTTGATTTAGAAAAAAAATTTAAAACAAAACCCATACATACAAGTTAGCAGTTGCAGAGAGAGAGAGAGGGGGGCAATCTTGAGAGTTGAGAGACAGCCGGCCAGCGGCTGAAGCTTGCGAACGGCGCACCCGAACTGGAACAGCGGGCGATAGAAACTGAAAGATATGAGTTTTGATTTTTGTGAACAATCTACATGATATGCCGATATGGGTTTTGATATAGGTATTAGGTTTTGAACTTTTGATTCGTGCAGACAGATAGATAAACTGAAATATATGGGTTTTGAACTTCTGATTCTTGTAGATTTTGCAGTCTGCAGTTGCAGAGAGAGAGAGAGAGAGAGAGGGGGCAAGTTCAGAGTTGAGAACGAGAATAGAGATGGAGGCGATTAGGGAGGCTGAAATGATTTGCCCTAAAAATATTTTTTTTTCTGGTGGCCCATCATCCATGGGCCTATTAATTTTGAGGCCCATAAATTTTGAGGCCCTAGGCGAGATTTAGAAGGAAAATAATAAGCCCAACTACTCTTTAACTTTCGGGTTGCTCTTACAGAATTTTTTATTTTTATTTTTTATTTTTGTCTTTATTTATTTATTTATTATCTCCTTTGCATGTATTTCAAATTCTTTCTTTCTTGTGAATATTTTTATATACTATTTGGATCTTATTTTATATTTTCATTTTGCAGGAGGTCTTGGGTCAGGACCGGCCCTTGGGCTTATTTGGCTTGGGCCTTTAATTATATGGTGGCTGAATTGACTTGGGCTTGATTGGGGTGGACTAATTTTGGGGTGGGCTAATATTATTAATTAATTAATTATTTTTATTTTTTTTATTATTATTATTTTTTTTGGCTGGACTAAAATTAGTATGGTAAAAAAATAAATTTTTTTTTTTTTGGATGGGTTCAAGCCCACCAGAGCACACACTTGCATCCACCCTTGTAAGCAACTAAATTTACTTTTGCTTCTAGCTTAATGGGATAATATTTTCTCATGCTTTGTAACTATGGATGTAAAATAGATATGATATGTATAACATTGGAGATGACTTGTTTTGTTTAATTGGGTTATGAAATTTTAGTTTTATACTGTCTTGGTTGGAGCACCGATGAGGCGGAAAGCGTCGGATTTGTGTGAGTGATGGTGGTAAGTTGGTGTAATAATAAGGGTATAGTGGTAATTTAAGTAACTTGATATTTTAGAATAAATAGGATTAAAAAAATAAGGGACAATGTTGTCTTTTCATATTTTTAATGAAGACTAGGACAAAAAAAGTAAAAATGGACCTAAATAACAATTATTTTCGAAAGATATTTGAAAGTAATATTTGACCAAGTATAAATGAAATTAATCCATTAATCAAAAGTGGTCCATACCTGGAATCATCTTATCTAGCAAAGGTGACATAAACCACCTCGAATCCAACAACTTCACGACCACCAATTATGACGCCTTTGCTCGAACAAACACTTATAAAATAGGTTAAGGGTTTCATTCGAACTATAAACGAAGGGATTGCTTGAAACTCAGAGCAACATAGACGCGACGCTACATATGGAGCAACACAACCACACAGTTAATATTAGGGCTTTGTTTGCCTTTGAATGACTAAGGATTAATACGACATGGTTTTGGCCCATAAGGGCATACTAGTCATTTTGAAAATACAAATTCTGTGGCTTAAAATACAAATATAATATTGAAGTCAATTTGGTCATTTAACAGCTCAGTCATATAATAGCGTGCTAAATTAACCGGTGACAAACAACTATAAAGTAAAATTGATGGACATAAAATACTGAAACAGTGACCAACCATCCCAAACCATGTGATTCTCAAATAGGAAAGATGTTCTCAATGTTTCGTTGGACACGCCACCAAGGCCTAGGAGGAGAAGAAACAGGAAGGCTCGCAACATCATCTAGCTTCTTAAAGGTGTTATCCTTAATGTTGTAGGAGATGATCATAGTTGGGTCTACAAATATCACCAAAAACACATCCCCGTCATCTTCTCCATGAATTAAACCAAGCACAGTGAGTGTCTCAGGGTGGACAACCATCTCCGGTTTTGATGCAATTAGATCATTCATCATGGAGTTAAGCCTAACCCGGTACTTCAATGACCACTTGGAGTAGTCGCTTTCCATCTCAAAGATGTTGGCATTAAATCCAGTACCATCACAATATTCAATAAGATGCAAATGACCTCTGGACTCTCCAAAATACCAGCGTTGAACGGTAACAGGCTGAAATGGTGCAGATGGCATTGGGCAGAATCTTTCTTGATCAACATCAAAGTATAGGGAAGGTTGTTGTGATAGTTGGGAGAAGGAAATCCAATGGATGGAACCATTGCAATAGACTCCATCACCGAAATGCACACTTAATGGTGCCCTAAAAGGATGATGATCACCAATATTGGGTTGTGCCGCCCGCCAGGCATGGGTTTGTGAGGAATAAATATGTACATAACACGAGTAGGCACCACAATTTAGTATAGTTTTAAGTAAAACAACTTTGTAGTGAGGTGATTTCAAAGGATCAAAAATCATATATAAAGAGTCAGAAAGATAAAAGAGCCCGGGAAGAGTGCGTAATTTCTTTGTAGTGGGATTGTAAACATGGTACGACATCCTATTCTGATGCTTTTGAACTAAGTAGAGGAGTACAAAACCATTACGAGAGTCTTCTATGACAGTACTAGTAATGTCAGGAAAGTGAGCACTGAGTGACTGCTTTACATCTTCGGCATTAATAGTAATAGTAGAACTATTACATCCATTCTTCAATTCAGAGTGAATGAGAGGAATGTATTTGATGAATTCAGATCCGTATTTACCGGTTAAGAAAAGGCCGGCGATTTTGGGATCATGAGATTGTGGATGCTGCTGTTGCCAGTGGAGGAGACAGAAGCGACTACTGGAGATGAGAGAGAGCCATGCTTTAGAAACTGACTTGAATCGAAGGACGGATTTCGGCGGCAGACGCCGAAGGATCTCCACAACCAGGTCGGCGTTGCAGCCGATGATTTCAGAAGCAGCGACGGCGACAGAGATTTGGTCCGCCGACGACGATCTCTGAGCATTATTCCAGCGGCACCTTTTAAAGTGGGAAGCCATTCCGTCAACAAATTCTGATCTCTCAAGCGGACGCCTTTCGATCTTACCTTCTGCTACCGCTTGCCTTGCGACTTATATAGGCAACTAAATCAAAACCTAATAAAACCAGAACTGGTTGTTTATGTATCTATCTATAATTCTATATAGTCCGTCTCTGACTCAAGGTGTCGTCATGCTTTCCTTTTTGTCAGTCCCAAGTTAATACGGAGTAGTAACTTTCCTTTTTGTCAGTCCCAAGTTAACACGGAGTAGTGACTTTAACCTTGCTATCAATACGGTAAATTTAAGAGCGTGAATGTAATTAATCTTGTATCTTTTATGTTCAAAATTTTAATTTTAAATATTTTAAATTTAAAAAAATAAGTTAATAATTTTTCAAACTAAAAAAATAAAAATAAAAACTATGGAAGCAAACCAACCACAAATCTTAAAATGCGACATTCTGATCTTAATTAGTTAGCCAACTTTTTATACGCGAACTCCAATCACAATAGCAAATATGGTGGCATTAAAGGGCAGAGCTGGTCAGGGACGGAGCCAGGATTGCAAAGTAGGGGAGTTAAAAATAATTAAATTTATGATTACTTAGTGTAGGGCTGCAAATGAACCGAGCTGTTCATGAACAGCTCGAGCTCGGCTCGGGCTCGTTCATTAAGCAAACAAGCCGAGCTTGAGCCCAATTTCTAGGCTCATTTACTAAACGAGCCGAGCCTGAGCAACGTTGGGCTCGGCTCGCATAGGCTCGTGAACATGGGCTCGTTAAGGCTCGTTAGGGCTCGTGAACAAAGCTCGTATCAGGCTCGTTACATATATCAGGCCCATTCTATATATATCAGGCCCATTTGTTTTTATTGTACATTTAAAATGTTTAGTCCATATTATTTTTAAGTTTGGACCAGCTCATATTTTTCATTAATATGGCCCAAGCATTATAACTCATTAGCCCAAAGAAAATCCACCATAGATCCATAGCCCAAATAAGATTTCGGGTTGGAGAAATCATCCAAATTTCTTGTGGAGGCAACAAGCCCCACAAAATTCATCATTCCAAGGTCATGGGCAATCAAATCAATCTAATTCTTAGTCCATGAACCGGCCATTTCAAGATTCTTCAAGCTATCATCCTCCTTCCTATAATGCAAATTTTTCCAATCAGAATCATGTCTCACCCATTAAATTAGAACCCATCTCATCCATTGATTTTGTAAGATATCAAAAAAACCTAAAACTACATCCCACCATTCAAATCTGCCTCTTCTCCACAACATCGTCAGTCTCTCTCTCTCTATCACTCACTCACGAGTTACGAATCAACTCCACCGGCGACGACAACCCTTCCATCTACACAACTACCTCTCTGTCTCTCTCTAATCAACTCAATCGCCATAACTCTCTCTCTCAGATCTGAATGCATCGTTTGTCATCGTCATCGTCGGCCGCAGTCCTCTGTCTTCGCCATGGACGTCGTCCGTTTCCCGCCGTCGTCTGTGTCGCTGTCCCTCCATCCTCGTCATCATCGTTGGTCATCCTTTGTCCTCGCCATCAATTAGGTACTGCATCAATTAATTTTTTGACAAAACTTTATTTTCACTTTAATTCCATGGATCTGGACAACCTCAAAACATTCTTTAGGCAGTTGCAGACAATTTTGTTTAGCCTTTTCTTCTGCTTCCTCTAAATTTATGAAGACTAATGCTCAATGGCCACAGGTAGCTAAATTAATTTATCTCCAACTTATTTTCCTCTGTGGTTTCTTTTTCTACTTAATATATACAATGTTTTAGTGGTTCTATAGATATTATTATCATGGGAATTTATAACTTTTTGATGTGTTGTATTTTCATAGAAAATGCATAATGCACTCATGCTCAATTTTGTCCTTTTTTCTTTTTTCGAAATTAACCCTTAATTTGTTCTTGAAACATAAAAGCTTGCACTACTGCACCTTTTTTTTTTTTTTTTTGCCCTTTTTCTTTTTGTTTATGTGATAATTGATAAAGCAATGGAAAAAGGTATTGTGGCCTGTAGAATACTAATTAATTTTGAATTTTATATATATATATTTTTTTGTTAAACGAGCCGAGCCCGAGCTAAGCCCGACCTTTTAAAATCAAGACGAGCCCGAGCCCGAGCTCGAGCTCAAATTTTTGAGCTCGTCACGAGCCGAGCCCGAGCCCGAGCTGATCCAATAAACAAACGAGCCGAGCTCGAACAGCCTAAAGCTCGGCTCGGCTCGGCTCATTTGCAGCCCTAACTCAGTGTGTCATCCATGCTCTAAATACGGAATTCTCATACATCAGTCATTCAATTAAACCTAATAATTTACAACCTTCTAATACATTTACGTATTTTCACAGTCAAGAATCTACTGAAGTTTTCTTCATACAAATATTAAAACAAACACGTCCAATAATGCAAAATATATATGTTCCTTATCAACAAATTTACATTAGAAAGAAAGACTTATGTGCTCCGCCCCTTACTAATTATTAATCTATTATATAGTAAATTATCCAATTTAACAAGAAATCATCAAGTTATCAACTCTTTTTTTTATATATATTTTTACAAAAATAAAAATCAATATTTCACTGGATTAACAATAATAATCCACAATATTCATTCACTTATATCTTAGTGCCTTACATACGAAGAGTTTATGTATTTTTCCATAGACTAACAATGTGTTTGATTTATTAGGTTGGCCCTGTTATGTTTTATTATGGTTTATTTTGTGATTGGACATGTCCATGGTTCGTGGACTTGCTCATATTCAAGGCTTAGCCTTTATAAATTTTATAACTCATTTTATTTATAGAATATTATGAATTGGGCTAAACTAATAAGAAGAATATTATATCAGCTTATAAAAACAATAGTACTAAATTTTTTTTTTTCAATTGGACCTGGGCTATAGCCCAAGTTAGCCTAATACTAGTTACTCCGTGGAGCTGGTGTTAAGG